ACAAGAAGAAGGCTACCCACCACTGGCACCACCATTTGTGTGCTTTTCGAGCCGATCCCGTATGACGACCTTAAACAAAAGCATCTTGTGAACACGGTTGGCTCCAGCATGCTGGTCGGAGTGTGGTTTGCTGCCACCAAAAAAAGCTGAAGTCGGCAACCGCTGGAGGGTCCACTAGCCTTTACAGTATAGCGATTCTTGTTGCTCTGGAATGCATAAAGCTGTAGCCACTGACTGCGAAGATGTTAGCGTCTAAGAATTAAGCATGTTATCACATCATGACGAAAATATATGCAGCCTCGTTATGACAACAGGCGTATCCAGACAGGGCAAGACCATATTATCAATATCTTAACAATTCATGGGGTAAATTCAACAGGATCTACATGATACGTTGCTTGAACACATAATAGTGTATCGCTATCTTAAATGCATGTTCGCATACTTTTAGAATTGTCCATTGCCGCCACACGCGTCCTAGTTACCGAAGAATGCCTTGATAAAATCAAATCCCTGCAACACGCGCAGGTGTTAGGCAGCCAACAAGATGTAGGGGCTTCTCGAAAGTGGACTTAATGAGGGAAAATTCGTTTGTTGGCATCATTTTGGGGCAGGTTTCATCATTTTTCATTACCCAGGCCCCGAGCCAACGTCCTTTGCGAAACTACGCCTGTGGTGCCCTCATTTATTCGTATGTGTGCAGCTGAAGCGTGACAGTCTGGACCTTTACCATTTAATAATTTGAATAATCGAGGCTAAAGACCACCTTGGTTACATGTCGGTGAAGCTGGCAATTCATTCAGCGATACATTGACCGATGAGTTCCGATTTCTCTGAAAAAGCGTCAGGTGGTCAATTATGATACGAGAACATCGAAAATGGCTTAGTTTTCAAAGCCAAATTCAGGCTCGAATGGCCAGGAAATCCAAATCAACAAAAAACAAAATATCGGTCATTTTCAGTTTTGTAAGTACCAGTATAATCATAAGCGAATGAACTAGCACCCATCAAATAGTCCTCAAAACTCAAGGTCACTTTTCAAAGTCAGCCTGTGGTTCAAGGAACGAGAAATTTCATATCCCCAAAATTACCACCGATGTCAACTTCTCAAATATCAGAATATTCACCAGTACATGAACTACCACCCATCAAAAAGTCCTAGCCTCTCAAGGCCATCCGTCAAGGTTAAACTCAGGCTTAAATGACGGGGAACTTTGTACCATTAGAAAACGCTGTGTCGATTGCAAGCTTTCAAGCACCAGAATTTTCACCATTGAAGGAACTAGCGTCCGTCAAAAAGTACATGAAACTCAAGGTCACTTTTCAAGGTCAAGTTTGGGCCCAAAGGGAGAGAAACTCCATTTCACCAAAGAGCTGCCGGCCGATCTCGGATTTTTTCATTGCCAGAATGATTACTGACACACGAACTAGCGTAGTTCATGTGCTAGTGACTATTCCAGTTGAACATAAAAAACTCGTAAGAATTTTTGAAAGACGCCAGTTCCTTCTGTGGTGAGCATTCTGATGCTCGAAAATTTCAGATCGGTCGGTAATTGTTTTGTGGTGGAGAGTATCTAGTCCTTTGAGTCTGGGTTTGCCTTTAAAACGTGACCTCGAGAAGTCAGGACTCCAACGGACGCTAGTTCATTCGCTGATTATTCTGGTATTTAAAAATCCGAAATCGGCCGGGACTTTTCGGTGACCCGGAGTTCCCCGTCATTTGAGCCTGACTCTGATATGGAAGGGTGACATTGATGAGAGAGCAGGATTTTTGACGGATACTAGTTCATGCGTCAGTGACTGCTCTGATACTTTGAACTCCGGAATCGACCGGAATTGTTTGGAAATGTGGAGTTCCCCGTCTTTTGAGCCTGAATTCATCCTTGAACGGTGACACTGGGAAGTCAAGATTTATATACAGACGCTAGTTATATACACTGCCGAATATTCCAATGCTGCTTAAAGTTGAAATAATTAATATTTGGATGCTGAGGACATGCAAGGAAAGATCAGACTTTTGACAACGAACCCCAGGACGGATACGATCCCATACAGGTATGGACCAGCACACAGGGACGCACAATACCGGCTGCAAAGCCAGACGGGAGGTGCAAGTAAACACTAGCCTGGCTAATGCGACACTTATCTATTTTTTACACTTAAACGCATTCGGAAACGTGACCGCTTTGAATTTCCGGCCAACATTCAGCAGTGCAATGCGGGAAGACGACAAAGTTTTAAGGAACGTTCTTTCGTCCACAGAACAGCCCACATGTCGGTCAGTATATGCAAAATAAGGCTCATGTTTCCACCTTCACATCTGCCAGATCAGCGTCGACCGTTGTGATCTCGCCCGGTGACCGGAAATTGGAATTCTGTCGTGACCTCCCACGGTTGCGACCCACGCTGCCCGTCGTGGGCCGATAGTTCGCAGGAAGCTCGCCTCCGCCGACCAGGACAGCTGTGGCGTGGACACGTGCGATGGACACGAGCTGACGGCAAAGACATAGATAACATACCTTACCTGCGGTGAGCCGTTTGTTTCATAATGCGCCCGCTTACTGTTGTTGGGCAGCGTCATACTGGAAGGCAGACACTCGATACCGTCTTTGGCATTCCCAACCGGCTAAGCAACCAAACAACTCTAAAAAATAGCGTGCCGCTGTGGCCCGAGCAAACCCTTAGCGCGTCTGCCTGGCTCGCTCCGCTGTCTGACGTGATGACCACCGACTTGGTACAACGCGTCCCATCGACCTCAAAAGCACACCTGCTCCCAGGATGCGGCGTGTGCTACGATCTGCGTTAATGCTGGAAACCTTCCGACAAAATGCAATCTGGACGGTTGCGGGTTGCCACGGTTACCGTTTCACACGATGCATATTCGCGCTACGAGCGAAAGGCCCCTGAGGCGCATTTTCAGACGGACTCACAAGTACATCCTTGGCGATTCGCACAAGTATAACCGTATATCCGTATATCAAGTATATCCAAGTATAACCGCACCACATGCTTGACAAAGTTTCCATCGTGGCTGCCAACTGAAAAGCTGTTGAAGCACCACGTAAATCGACGTGCGAAGAAGGCGCCAGCTATGGAGAGCGTACAGAAGCCCGCAGTTGTATCGTGATGCGGTACGATGACGACTTGCGCACGCAGCAGACCACGATGAGCGTGCGTCCCACTTCAGGGATTGTGTGTCAGGCGGTGTTTCGACATCCGCGGCCACTCCAACTGAATAAAGTCACAGCACACGATGCACGTGCAAATTCCCATTTGTCCAGAGATGTCGGCCACATAGCTAGCGCATACAATATAAACGTGTGTGCGTCGTCTGTTTATTAATATTTGAACAAGTGCGCTGCGCTGTCCCTTACATGAGCGGGCCATTACTGACAACAATGCTACACCACATCAGGTCGTGTAATCTAGTGGCGACCGGACGATTACGAGCAATAGAAAATCGATAGCCGCGGTAAACACTCAGTGCAGCATCATTGGCGATTTCATTACCATTCCAGGTCGTTTGAACACAACTTCTGTAATGATTCCCTACAGGAGATCCAGACTCATAGTCGTCAAAGGTTTCATTATCTCAATTGTGAAGATATCGTGAACTGCAGCCGCCCCAATGTGAACAGACGCGACGCCGGGCCGATAAAGACCATGCTGTACAAGCGCCGTGGGTTTCCAGATATCTATCACCCGGTCCGCAATAAAATGGAATGCCTCACCATCACGACGCGCTCGACCTAACGGACGCAACATTCACTGCACACAGCTTCGAGAAGCGCTGCCCAAACTGATGCCACCTAGGCGGTAAAGCACAAGCTTGCTTTTGATGCACACTCGCTAGATGTCAGGTCTGACAATGGAACACATGGAGACGGTTGCGTTGAGACACAGCAGACACCCTTCTCCCTCTGAGGCTTTGGAAACTCCTTCCACTCGACTTTGCTGGAGCAGCTTGACCGCCGCTGCAGGCCTCACCGCTCCCCGGACCAGGAGACCTCTCCGAGCGCTCCGCGAGCCCCCGACTCCAGGCCCGCCGCCAGCTGCCGCCAGCTCACACGTCTCCGAACTCGAGGCTGGAGCTAGATGAGGTCGATAGGCGCTCGGAGACCGCCGCCAGCGAATGGCCGTGGCGCGACGAGCCGGCCGCCTCCTCCTCGTCCGCCGAGCCGTCGTAGCCATTGTCCCAGCTGGGTGAGCGCACCAGCTGCTTGAACTCCTGAATGGCGTCGTTAAGTGACCACAGCTGATAGAGGAGGGCAAGGTCGAGTTGGCGCAGGTCGGTCATCTCGCGCCGCAATCGCTCCAGCTGCTGGTCGAGCGGTGACCGGCGCGCCGGCCGCGGCAGGGGGTGCAGCGGGCCCGCCCGCGGACGCGCGGACGCCGGGCTGCCGCCTGCCGCCCAGGGTCACAACGGGTCACACAAGGTCACACTCGGCGGCGGCCGGACAATCGCGAGATCGGGGACACACCGTGCTACATCGGCTTATCCGTGCACCAAATGGTGGACAACCACACGGTCACTAGGTCACACAGCATGATACAGGGCCATCGTGTGATCAAGTGGTCACAATACGTGACATCGCAGTACACAGGTACGCGGTGAATTGAGGTTATACTTGCGGGGTGTAAGACTGGGCGGTTGACTGCAAACCACAGGCATAATTACATTTATGCAGCGAAGAAACAGACAACGGGGACGAATAGGCAATTCTGTTAGGCCAGATTAGACGAACAAACGAAAACAACCCAAACTGGGAAACGGAAAGAACAGGAGGCATCCATTAAAAACAAAATAAAGGGACAGTCCAGACGCAAGATACAACAAAAAGCATATTGCCGAAACAAGCTGATGGACGGCAGACAGCTAGCAATAAAACAGGGCGCAGTGTGTCTCAGGTCGGCGGCGGGGTGAGCGCTGAGGCCGGCAGCGGCCGCACCTCTGGCCTGGCTGGACAGCGCGGCGCGACCGGCCGGGCCGGGCCGCGCCGGCGGGCTGCGCGCCGCCGGCACGTTACTGTAGGTCGGCTCGTCATCGGCCGCGGCCACCAGCAGGTGACGCCACTGGTCCCGGCCTGCGCTCAGCACGCTGCTCAGAGAGGGCGGCAGCGGCGGCAGGCCCTGCAGCGACGACATGGCCGGCTGCAGCTGCCGGACGGCGGAGGCGGCGGCGGCAGGGTCAGTACAGCGGGCGGCGCGGCGGCAGCTCGCCGCCGTCAGAAGCGGCGCCCCACACAGCAAGCGCGGCAGCGGGGACATCGAGGCAGCGGTCAGTCAAGCCGTCATAAGAGGCGCCCGGACGGCCAGTGGCCGCCGCACTGACACTGAACGCCATCCAGCAGTCACAGTCCGTACAGTCGTCAGCCGCGTCTACAAGCCTAGCCAAGCCCAGTCTGGAAGCTGCGGGGCACTCGGCTGAACATAGCACCAACGCGCTCGGTTGAGTCAACAGAACAAACAGCGCGGCAGTCAGCACAGCAGTCGGCACGCAGCTAATGTAACAGCCAGTAAAATAGCCTGTGCAGCAGTCTGCGGCAGTCTGTGCAGCAGTCAGGTCCGCGGAGGAATCGGGACAGCGCATCAAGTGAGCACGCATTGCGCACTCTTAGCATCGTTCTTTTACCTATCCTGAACATCACTACCGACACCATGGAACCATTATGCGCCAAACGTAATACACGTAGCTCCGAAATGATCCATGTCGGACATTGGACAAAAAGATGGCTAAATTAACCGGACTCTTGACCTCGTTAATGTTACTGCTGCTTACACAACGTTGTCGACAAATTATTCAGACTTCCCCACGTCCTCACCAGGACCAACCTACAATTGACCACAGCCGTAGAAGGAACGGGCTGACATGCTGTATGAGCAGAAGCACCGCTACCAATAGTCCAGCTAATTAGCCAATCCGCACTAATACCACGTCCCACACATGGCGTAGAACAACGCATATCCACCGTCGGCAACCGCGTTGCAGTCACCACCCTGAAGTCAAATATATGAATATATTAATCGGCAGCAGGCCTTCATCGGCTGCCCACAAAGAGGTGATATCTGGCCTTTGCGGGGAATTATTAAACCATTCCTGAAGATAAGTAAACTCATTAAGCACGCAGAGGAAGCGTCGCATGTGAAAATGGCTGTTGTGGCGAGCTCCTGCACAATCTTGATTGAGCGGTGGCGCCAATGTTAGGAACTAACAGAGAACGAAACCCAAAACCAAATCACATTTTTACCCCGCTTCTTGACAAGAGTAATAGGCAATTTGCAGATGTAACCATTTACTACGTGGGAATACCACAATGACCACCAGTGCCTGTAAGGGGCGACCGAACAAAAAAAAGGCGGCGCAAGTACATTACTGTAACCGACGCGTCCGAGGCACGTGAGTAAGCAGCCCGGCTCAATGACCCATAACATCTGGTGAGACCGGGCCAATTTGTGGTCCTCGATAGGATGACATGAACCTTGTCAGTCAATCCGAGCAATAAGACAGCAAAAACCCTTACAACTGACAGAGCCATCATCCAGGCAGGCTAAAGCAGTTAGTGCATTTATGATAAATTTAAGACTGTCTCAGGAACGAAGCCTTGATCTTCGACGAGCCAATAGGATGCCACTCTTGGTCAACACGCTCCTATAACCCACAAATTAAGCCTAGCGATAACATACTGCTATCTTGTTGGCACACGCTCGGTGCATCACTGTACTAGCTTCTTATGGAGTCCCCACCACTGGGGCGGTCTGGTCAGCGCCACGAGACGACCAAAGCCTCGGCAGGGCTCTCTCCAACGCCTCGCCTCCCACGTGAAAGATCGTGTCGTTATAAACCACAAGGTCCTCCTGTGCTGTCCTCTCATACGGCCAGAGTTAAGGGCGAGACGTTGCGGAATTACTACAGCGTAAGGAGATAATTCAAGATGAAAATAACCATAGTTAATGACTGGGAAAAGCATGCCGTAACTGTTGCCACGTATAGTTCCAACACAATCTTTCGGTAGACCCAACTCTTTTGGCGGGCCGAAACAGACACCGTGTGACCCTTTGCGCCAGACCGTCCGCTAGTTTCCATTCGGTGAATCCAGCCCAGTTCAGCCACAATTACGGAGCGGTGCCCCCTCATGTTGTCTGGACGGCGGACGAAGTCGACTCGCCAGCCAGAGGTCAGTCATTGGTTTTGAGACATCGAGTGACGAATATCCGTTTTCAGTTTACCGGCATGTCATGAACGACTGGCCGACCGACCGCTGGCAGCCGATGACATAACTAACCCAGACTTTCAGTTGCACAACGGACCGAATCGTTTTCTTTGAACGGGCAGATCCAGCTGTCCTTATAAAGTAATACACAACTGCGAACGCCTACCCATCTTATAGATTTGTGAAAATCATGACGTTCATGCGTTCACGGGATGCAGACATGACGTAGGACAACTTCACACGGGTCACATTCACTGGCGCGCTGTCGAACGATACCTTCTTAAGCTGGCGAGCAAGCAGAAACTCGCGATATCGTCTGAAGTCGGAGCCCATGACAGCGGTGTCCGCCACACCAACCCCACCGCCGGCCGGTAGGCTCCGCGGGCCGTCACACCGCCGCACTGTGTGGGCGGCCGCGGGGCGCCTCCAGCCGGCTGGCCAGCGCTGCAATGCGCCGGCTCCAGCGGCAGCCGGCCCCGACCACGCGGCTATGACACCGCCAACACACACCCCGATCTGGGTTAGGAGTAGCGCTTTTACCACGGCCCGTCACATGGAAACCCTGGTTTCCCACAATTTTCTGGTCGCCGGGTTCGAAATAACAGCCGAGGTGCAGTTAGTCACGCCTGGGCTGTGGTACCGCACAGGTGACGACATCTACCGGGGCTCACTATATTTAAAGGTTGCGGTGGCAAACCATCGAAGTCCATCATTCCTTTACAATGAACTTAATAAATCGATTTGCATGCGTGACTTTCTGATCACTTCTGCTGCGTACGATTTGTCGCAGATCGTCACCCCACCACACTCATAAAACAGTTTCGAATAAGCGGGCAATTCTTGCTGAAGGATGTTGCACTGCGCAACGCCGCGCAACAGAACCACCCTGTTTCAGCCTGGCTCTCTTGGCGAGCTGCCATTTCACCACCAAAGATGAACAATACAAGTGCGGCTTCTGGTACGTGAGCCCAAACGCGTCCCCACGTTGGTAGGCATGTGCGTTCCTTGCGCTCAAATAAAAAGACGAAACAAAAACAAAGAGCGCACAACATACAACAGGTTTGCTGACTGGATTAGCCGCCGAGGGGACGAAAGGTTGTTTCCTCGCCCTAAGCCCACTATTTCGTGCTGAAGTACAGACCAAGTGATATAATCCCGATCAAACAGCATTTCAACCCCGCTGAACATACAGGACAGGTCATACAATTACGTGACCTCATATCTTTGTCGAGGGAGTATCAGCTTTGTGATTACCATATCCCACTAAAAACACAAAAAACGAATTTCCGAGTAGCATTCTTCCCAACACCTTGTTGCACACGCATCAAGAAAGAACACCCAGCCAGTTTTAATGCAATGTAAAACCAATGCGACAGGTGGCGTTTCTGAAGGCGTTACAGGACAGGTCATACAATTATGTGACCTCAGATCTTTGTCAAGGGAGTATCAGCTTTGTGCTTACCATATCCCACTAAAAACACGAAAAACCGAATTTCCGAGTAGCATTCTTCCCTACACCTTGCTGCACATGCATCAACAAAGAACATCCAGCCAGTTTTAATGCAATGTAAAACCACTGCGACAGGTAGCGTTTCTGAAGCTGCATATAGAGATTTTCACTACAAAATTTCCCCCAGACTCTGAACAAGTTTGACCCATATGCCCAACCATGCTAACATACCTGACATCTTGAATCTTGATGTGGAAAATTATACAGCACAGCACAGCACAGCGTGACACAGCACGCACGCACGCACGCACGCACGCACGCACGCACGCACGCACGCACGCACACACACACACACACACACACACACACACACACACACACACACACACACACACACACACACACACACACACACACACACACACACACACACACACACACACACACACACACACACACACACCTGTATTGGTGATTACTCCTTGAACTTCCAGTCCTGTCTACACATGGGGCAGTGCTGGTGAACCTGCTGCGACTCGAGCCACTTGATGATGCAGTGCATGTGGAAGCAGTGCGAGCACTGGCCCCAAACTGAGGAAGGAGGAGAATAGTCACTCCACAATACACGCACGCCGCCATGCCTGCACACACGCCGAACAGTCGTCTAAGCGCTGCTATTTTAAGCCAGCACCGCGGTACTCGCCACTGCTGAGGACCAGGCTGGAAATCACGCACAAAACATAAAAACACTTCCACAATATCCAAACCATGGCCTAGCTTGTGAGCACACTCGGCGAAAACCACACATGTGGTATGAGCTACATGCAGTAGGCAATGAGACGACGGGTGCATTCGCTGTGATCGGACACAATGGACGCCCATACTCGTCCCGGTGGCACGGCCAACTACAGCCTGGTGCCATTCTCATGACGTCTGATTGTGTAGCAAGGACGTTGCTGTGGCCAGAGGTCCCACACACAAGAAGACGCTGGTGTGGGTTGCTCGGTAGGCCCACCACGGGCACTAAGACCCAGCTGGGTCACCAGCATCCACCGGCGGAAGCGCGACCGGCTGCCAGGCGCGCAGCCGCCACCTGCCGACGTCGGGGCCCCGGCTGCCGCGGCCGCCACCCACCCAGAGGACAGTCGTCGCCGGGGATCTTGCAGTTGGAGCACGTGGCGTCGAAGGGCATGCGGCAGATGCCACAGCTGTCGTCGTTCGCGATCCACTTCCACGTGGCGACGCCGTGCCACGCTGCCAACATGGTCCAACAACCTGACTAGGTGCTTGTGCTAGCATTCAGGTGCAGTGACGACATGGTCGGTGTGCACCCATTGCAGATGTCTTGTTTGGAGTGGTACAAAAGAGTGTGAGACAAAAAGTGAGAAGACAGGGATGTGGGGCTCAGACGCCGTGGTAGCCTCAGGGACACGACCCCCTGAGATAGCTCATGTGAACCAGATGGCAGCATTACTACACTCTGAACTGAGGGCTGGCCAAAAAGGGTTAATGAGGCTTGTTGTGGCCATGCCTCAGCATTGTAATACAGCAAAGCTCACTGTGGCTTTAGATGATAAATGGCCTCATACAACTTATGCCATGGACTGGAATGCCACTAACTGGCTGGGCTGGTAGGTTCAGAGCAAATGCCAAACTGTTTTTTAGCTTGAGCTCTGAATCTGATGGCCCTGAGAAATTCATTCAAACTAAACTGCTGAAAGCTCACATCTCACAAAATATCTTTTCATAGTCACAAGTGCTTATAAACTTACAACTCCTGCCCTCCCAGGCCGAGTGAACACATTTTATATCCCAGGAACATGAGCACTGCAGTACTGCTCTCCAGACATGTGAGCAATGAGCATCAGGGCAGGATGGCCAGGCCTGGGTATTCATGAACAATAACAGAAAGATTGGGGAGGGGGAGGAGCTGGGGGGTAAAAAGACAGTGTGTGAAGGCCTAAAGGGACCATTGGTAGAGCAGCAAAAAGACCATGTCTATGACAGAGCAAGCCATGCACCATCCATCCCAAGAAATATTCATGCCATTTTACACATCACAGCTACCAATTTACCATAAAGAGCTACCTAATAATGGACAATCTGACCAAGATGCCATTCTTAATATGCACCCCTAGTCACACAGATTCATGATCTATGCAATAAATATGATGGCAAATATTATGAATGTGCAATACACACTCAGGTTTAATACATACCTTTAATAATCACTTTCATAGGAATGTCTACAACTGGATATCACCTGGCAAGAAGTTATGGCAAACACATCACCAGTTGTGTTTGATGAAATCTGTAACAGGACAACACAATCAGGTATTTTTCATACTGAGTCATATCAACAAAATGTTTCAATGGAAACTGTCAGACTATGACCATTTAGTTCATTATCCAGATGTGCCCTCTTCATCCCCAGAATTATTCACATTGTTTTAAATATGTCACACCTGCTCATTTCCCATTCAGGGCAGCATAATTGAAGCAAGGCTCTAGAAGATACTACTTTCATTTCTCAGCTTGCAACTAGGTTTCACGTGGTGTGGAAACAAAGCCTGCATGGAATGTGCTGAAGCATGACTTGATGACTTATATCAGTCAGCTTATTTGCTAATGCTATGTCCATGTGCAGTTGATTTAAGCTCATGTGATGCATCAAAAATATTGGTTTATTTTCAATCAAAGATGCATACCACTTCCCACTGAAAATATAATCCCCATACATGTCCATGTGTTCACAACTGCAGACATTTACATGCCATAAAATAAGCTCACTTGTAGCTATTGGCATACTTTTAAATGGAAAAGACTGCTCTAAACAACACAATTTTGGTCATTTTAGGGAAGAGCAGGGCTGCAAACTGCATGAAATGATTTTCATGGTGGCAACCTCAGTTGAAAAAATGCATACAAATGTGGAACATTCCCTTGAAGATATTAGTGATAGTCCAGTTTTACTGCAAACTGCACTGTGCTGATGGCACCTACCATGGCCTCACCAACTCCTCACCTTGGTCTAAACCCCAAAATCAGGTGCAAGAAATAGCAAAAATAACATGATAGTAAGAATAAGAATAGTAAGAGACCAGCCAGCATTGCTTGCTCATGCTCATGCAGTACCCATGTATAAATTCAACTTCATGTATTCAAAAATTGTTCATTGTGTAAGCTTCAATACGCTAAAACAGCTTAACTTGATGAATTCTTGCTCATCTTGCCATTGTTCCATAAAACAATGCCAAACTAAATACACTTGGTATTATCTCCACTTCTGCCTGATGCACCCAGACGTCAACCACATTCACTGGGTCCACCAAAGATAATTTCACACTACTGCCTGTTTCACTTATCATTCCAAGCTCACAACACAAAGGAAAAAAAATACAGATGTCTGGCACATTGCCTACCTCAGTGCTTGAATGGTAACAATAGATTACCAGCAAAGTCCCTACCCTGACCAGCAGACATATATTCTAGAAAATATGTTCATCACGGCACTGCTCAACCTCAGGGCCTCCTTTCAAATCAAGGGCCTAACAAATCAAGGTACTTCAAATATATTTCTCGAACCTAAGAGAGAAGGCATTTTGAAGAACTTAAAAGGTATCAAACATACAGTTTTCATACACATTTTCATTTGAGCATAAACATCGAGCATACAGTTTTGTATTTTTACACTTGCCATCAGTTTTACATCACCAGACGTTGCTCGTCCCCATACCGGGCTGCCGGCGCACATGCGACGGGAAGATGGTGCGTGTGCTTTATGGTTGTGTGTAAGTCTATGGTTACCCGCCAGTTGCTGTAATCCATACCCTGTGCTGATAATGATGAAGAATTCAGGCCCTCTTAGCTTTATTTCGTCACTTATGGGATGAACTTGAACAGGGGCTGGATATACCTGGAGTGTATCTTGTTTTTTACCACCCTTGCTCTAAATGGCGATTTGCTCGATTTCCACTTTGCACGATCTCAATTCGCATAAAACGTGAAGTATCAATGTTTGGTGCACTTGCCGCCAGCTTGATATGAGCATGACACAGGGTTAAGGGGTGTTAGGAGAAGGACAGGGGACATGGAGCTTCCCCCTCAACTTAATGAATTGAGCATTGACACTTCAGGTATTGACAGGAAGGAAGGGTAGAAAATGGCTATTAGCCCCTAATCCAAGAGGTCTTGAATTGCCCCTGGGCAGACATAAGTACCACAATGTCTTAATAGATTTGACCTGTAAGATTTAGAGTTGCTGCATTTTTTAGGTCCCGCAACATTTTGGCCGATTGTATGCAGTTGTATGTTTTTAGATCCCACATTTGGCAAGTATTACACTGTAACTATAATTTCCTATGCAGACTGACATGCCAACTTAAATAATGCTGGATGTGGCAAAAAAGAAGAAAATTTTGATAACTTGTGTGTATGACATTTTTTTCAGCAGGCACCTAGGACAGGAAGGCTTTATGCATTTTGTGCCTGTGTTATGATAAACTGTATTGTAACTGGTTTGCATATCAAACACTAATGGAATGCTCCACATTTTAAGACTTTGAGACAAGCATCAGATGTAAAGAAATGGCTCACTTAGAACTATTGGTATACTTATAAGTAGAAAAGACTTCTAGACAACATAATCTCCCTAGTATCTATGGTCCTCAATATATCACTTTGGTTGCATCATGGAATGGTTGTGCAACATTGAGATGCTGCCAAACTAGCCATACAAAATTGCGATCCTTGCACCCACCTGTATTACTTCAAACTTGTCAAGAGATAGGTGCTGGAAGAATGTTTGCAGAGTGAAATATTATTTTGTGCCCATGGTTTGGCTCTTTCCTGTGGTGTCTTTGCCTAATTATCAGTGAGCTTAAGAATAATATGTGGATTCCCATACTTGGTTATGGACATATTCTTAATCTATTTGATTACAAGTCTTATTCCCAACTTGTTATATCACAAAGCATGAAATGTGATTTGTTCTCAAAACTTGCACAGCTTGCTCGATATTGATCGAGAGGCAGTTGATGTGCACTGTGCTTGGGAATTGTGCTTGCAGGTGTCAGATCTGAATGCTCTTGAAAGGCTTGATGATAGCACTCTTTGTGACCTTGAACACAGCATGGCCAATGGGGTGGCAGTATTTGAATTATAATGATATGAAATGCTGCATATCTGAAGGGCCTTGATACAGTCTGCACATTTTTTGCTGTTGTGTAGCTCAGAAACAAGAGGGTTTAGGTCTTGAGAAAGGCAGGGCTGTGAACTGTATCAATAGATCTTCAAACTTGCTGTTTCAGTTCAAAACTTTGTACAGATGTGGAACAACCCCTTAAAATAATTTGAAGAATGCCCCTTTTAAAAATATTATCAAACATTTATGCAACACAATGGGCTTAGATGTAACATCCATTTGAACAATTCTGCCAGTGTTATGATGTTTTCTCCTAAATTTTAGTTCTTTTAGTTTCAGCCTGCAATACCTACATGATTTACAACTCAAGCAAACTAGCATTGAAAACTGTTTTGTTCTCGGGCTGTTGAACAATTCACACAGGTAAGGTCAGGCTAGGTTTCAGACATGGAAGTCAGTGACACACAGAGCTGTAGGATTTCTCATTGAATGTCCCTATCTGACTGGCAGGTTTTCCCATTGCTTGTCCAGCTGCCTCTTGAACATGTTCTGTCATCAGTGATGACACCACTTTGTCTGGCAGATCTTCCCAATATGAGCCAATCCCACAGTTTGAATGAGCTCTGACACATTTGAAGTCAGATGAATGGTACAAAAATCATGTAAATTTTCCATGCAACTTTATTATGCTTTGACCATCTCATTGTACAATTTAAAGGTATATTTTGTTAACAGACAAGTGTATGTTTGTCTCAAGATGTGTATCATTTTGTTTAGTTGAGGAGTAAGGGCTAGGAAAATGCTAACAGTTTGCTCTTGGTTGAAGGACTGTAATAACAGTATGGTGTGATTTATATTTTACAAAATCTGACTGATCTGTTTTTTTACAGCACCTCAACATAAATACAGTAAAAGTGTTTCAAGTAAAAATTAAGAGTGCTTTCTTCTTTCTTTGATAACAATAATTGTCAACATGACATCTGATGTGGAATTCACATTCCTGTGCAAGATAAATCTTTTCCAATTGAAATGACCTGACCAGGGACAATCATAAAGGAATCTGCAATGCCTATCAACAATCAAGAATTGATACCCACTCAGAGGAAGTACCACAGCCTTCCAAGGCACTGCAAGCCATGCAGTGCTCAGGCTCAGGTATGTAATGCTCCAGAAAATATTTACATGGTGCTTACATTATTTATGTAGGCTTCGAGGGCAGCCTGAATATAATGATTTTCACATAATACACTTCATAAGTTTTGTATAAAGACTGCATTAGTAGCAGTGTATGTGTTGTACAAGTGCAGTCAATTTGTTTGTTGTATATGATATGAGGTGCTTTGTGGATTTTGCCTGCAGTCTGTGGTAACTACCTTCTGTGCATGTCTTTGAAAGTGTTTAACACAGGTGCCTCATATATTCTAGGTGATCTCTCCCCGCCTTCTGTGTGTTCGTGACTTCCGCATTAAACTCAATGCCTTTCAAGTCTGGTTCCGTGAGTTTGATGATGAACAAAAGAACACTGTTCTTCAGGAGCTGATGGTGAGTAAAAGGCCTGATAGAAACATGATAAACACTGTGTGTGTCTTATAGAAATGCACAATACACCACATCTTAAAAAACACACTATACTCTGTCTAACTCTTTAAACCAGGGTGGCATAGTTGCTTTCATATGTTTCCCACCATTTCACAAAACACTCTTTACGTTAAACTCTGTTCCCCTGATGCAACTTTAACTGTTTTATGATGCTAACATGATACTAATGAGAGTGCCTGCCAACACTGCAGTACACTCAAAGTTTGGCTGTAAAGTATAGCCATTCATGGTCACAGAGGCATCTCAGCATCAAGGGTAGAATAACTGTAGTCAAGACATTGATAATATCTAAACCAAAACATGTGACACAATGCTTAATGATCCCAGCCATGCCTTCAACCAAACCTAAAGTCTGATAAAGAAATTTATCTGGGGTGCTCGTCCAGCAAAGGTGGCTCGTGACACATTGTGTCAGCCTTTTAGGTAAGTTGGCTGAGGAGCATTTTCAAAACACAGCTTAAGCAGGGTCATTTAACTATAAAGATTTATGTGGAAGCGTCATAAATCATTCAGCGCTGCATTACTCCTCTTTCCATCATTATATTGTTCAGAAATAGATTTTGTGATGAAATAGTGTCTAAATGCAGGCTAAGTATGTTTTAATGGTGATCTGTTCCAACGATTTGGAGCTCCGTTCTGCAAAGCAGAATCTAGCACGGCGAAATTGGTTAGAGAGGAGATACTGTGGTATAGTGAGCGCATTCTGACCGACAATAGGTCGCTGCCATATCGCCGTTGGGAGAGTCACGAGATACGATTCATTGGTGATGAAGTCAAAAACAGGGGAAATCTAACGCACTCCCATTTACGCGCCAAATTTCCCGTCTGTAGGAGTGGTGTACTTCGGTACCAAGGACTTGTTTAGTGCGACTCTCACAAGATGGAGGACTTTTGCTTGATGGAAGAATGCAGAATGTATGTCTATGCACGCGAGAAAAGCCAAGGTTGGCGGTAAACTAGGCACGCAAGATACACCATAAATAGGCTACAAAAGGAAGGATTTGTAGTGCTTGGAATTAATGACTGCGAAAGGAGAAAGTGGCGTCTGAATCTAGACCCGATTATCTTGGGATACGTTATCACTGCAGTGCGTGTGCTCTGCTCCTGTCGTTCCAGTGGCAGGTAGCACACAAATATAGTCCCTCCAAAAGTGTTTTGTACATTAGTGCACAGATATATTCCCACCAGACGGTTCTTTGTATATAAGGCGCAATACAGACTCAGAGCGATACACGTATTATGGGAGAGATGACACGTAGGTTCATTACCTCTTTCGACGTCAGTTGGCTCGTGCGTTTGAGTACGGTGTATTCCGGGACACCAATCGGTGTGCGAGACCTATCCGTGTTGTAATTAACACGCGTGCTGCTATATTTAATGTAAGACATGTTCCGTGTGTGGTAAATCTTGTTGTCTTGCTGGCCAAGCGTTATAGGCATGAGCGTTGAGCGGACGAGTTATTTTTCTCTAGATGGCCCCCGACCACAGATTGGGCAATACTTTGATACGGAAAGAAGTATTGCTTTTAAAAGCGAGCGTAAGAAGCAGCGATTCCCGGACAAAATGGAGACATTATTCCGATGGTGTCCTCCAAATGCTAAACATCGGTGCAGGAGGCAGCACGCGGCTGCCGCGTCAGCTCGAGGCGGAGTAACCTCCCCGCCGCGGCTTTCCTCCCCGCGCGGCCCCGTGTAGCGGCCGTATACGGGAGGCAGCACGCGGCTGCCGCGTCAGGTCGAGGCGGAGTAACCTCCCCGCTGCGGCTTTCCTCGCCGCGCGGCCCTGTGTAGCGGCCTTGTTCGACGGTCTTGATATAGCGGTGTATGTTCTTGTGTAGCGGCCTCGATGTGGTATCAATTTTGATCCCCCTGCGATTACCTGTGTATGATATATGTATTGAGGTGTTTGGTATGTAAAACTGACTTAGGACCAGCTCTTGAAAAAAGGACGGACACTCTATGCAGCATGCACAATTGATGTAATAACTCTTCAGGCTGCTGTCCTTATTTGTTGTTAGTGTCTTGCCAGGTATAGCCAGATAACTATCTAGTCGACGCTAGGTCCAGCACTATACCAGTGAGCTAACTGTGAAGCACTCTATGATTCTAACGCCTTATCTCAATTTTTCTGTAAAGCTATCATGTACAAATTCAAAGTTTAGCGGTAGCATGTAGTGTTGGCTTCCTTCACAAAACCGGGTAGCGTAAACGCCACTGGAGACTTCTCCTGGTCCGGAGAGATTTTGCTTGGTGGTTCTTGGTTGTTCTGCGTCAAGTGTCTTCTTTTGGCCCCCAGCATGTGCATCTGTTCCTTGAGACCAGCAGTATCCATACGTCACTGAACAGATCTTATCTTGGTCCCCCCCCCCCCTGCACCCGATTAGTAACACTATTTCTAAAGCGCTTGCGCATCAGTTTCAGCGCGTGACGTCATTATTCGCTCCCTGACGCGAGGCCATCTCCTTCCTGAGCGGCCCCGCCGTGATGTGAGCCCATCTCCCTCCCGAGCCGCCTCTCTGCCTGTCCGGCGGACCTGGTGTCGTTCGCCGTCCGTCACGCGGTGCCGTTGCCGGCCAGGGCCTGTGCGGACCGGCGCAGAACCACCTGCTGTCGGTGCGGCTGCAAGACTCGCTGCACGAGCGCTGCCCGCCCAACTGCCAGGACCTGCTCTCATGGCTCCCGGCGCACGTCGTCTCCAAGATCCTCGGCTACCTGGACCCGCTCAGCCTGGCGCGCTGCAGCGCTGTCTGCAGGTGGGCCCGGTCGCGCCCCGTGCCAGCGTGTCAGGTGACACGGTTCACGATGTGAGGGCCCGCGGCCTGTGGTCCGGGCGCTGAGGCAGAGTGCAGCGATACGGAGCGTTGGCTAATCGTGCGCGGTCAGCGCTGTGCGCCCATGACCGGCTGTGTATCTGCCAGCGCCGCTGTACCGGCATGGACAGACCTGCGCTGTGTGCCCATGACCTACTGTGTATCTGCCAGCGCCGCTGTATCGGCATGGACAGACCTGCGCCGTGTGCCCATGACTGACTGTGTATCTGCCAGCGCCGCTGTACCGGCATGGACAGACCTGCGCTGTGTGCCCATGACTGGCTGTGTGCCTGCCAGCGCCGCTGTACCGGCATGAACGGATTATAACCTGCGGCGGCACGAACGGGCATTGTCCAGTGTCGCGCCGCTGTTGACTATACCCGCGAGTGTATCGGCTGCTGCTGACCTGCGCCGGCCTCGACAGGCAGTGGCGAGTGCTGGCCGGCGGCCGGCCGCTGTGGCGCAGGCTCAGCGCCCTCCCCGAGTGGCAGGTGTCACCCGAGACGCACCGCAAGCAGCTGCAGGAGCTCAGCTCGACCGACGGACGCGTCAACTGGAAACAGGTGCGTCACTGGCCGGCCGGGGTCACTTGGCCGGCGATTGGTCGGTCGCTGCGGTCAGGGCTCAGTGGGGCCGTCCGTGTCGGCCGGCCGCGGCCCGCTCCGCCGTGTCGACTGACGTCGGCCGTCCACGGGCCCGGCAGGTGTTCGTGCAGCGGTACCGGCTGCGGCGCAACTGGCTGCTCGGCCACTGCCACGTGCGCACGTTCGAGGGCCACGGCCAGGGCATCTCGTGCGTGCAGTTTGACGACACGCGCATCGTCAGCGGCTCGCACGACAACAGCATCAAGGTGGGCGGCGGCGCAGACTGCGGTCCGGCCCCGGCTGGCTGCCGGTGTGATCGCCTCCCGCGCCACGATAAGTGGTGTGTCAGGTTCAGCGACTGGTGCTCCGGCCGTCGGCGCAGAAGCGGGGCTTGGCGCTGAATCCAGCGGTAGTTTGTCTCATGGGACAAAATGAGTTATTGGTTGTGTTATTCGCGCTAGCTTATTGTGTGGGTTTTTGTGCTTTGCCGACCACGGCTGCTCATCAGCCCATCTTTGCTATTTTTCGGGAACGTGGTGGTGTCCGGGGACTGTGGTGTGCGGCAGACGGGGGGTTTGATGTCAGGGCTTGATGTGAACGTGTCGGTCGGACCGCGCAGGTGTGGAACATCCGCACTAACTCGCCGTGGTCGGTGATGACGCTGCTGGGACACTCGGGCACCGTGCGCTGCCTCCACCTGCTGGAGAACCGGCTGGTATCCGGCTCCACCGACACCACCATCAAGGTGAGGGCCGCGATGGGGTCGTCTGTCGTCCGCCTGCCGGCTGCCGTCCGGTCCTGTCAGTCGTTCACTCGCCTGAACTGTGTGATGACTCGCGACAGATGCCACGGGAGTGGCATGGAAGCCAGGAGAAACCAGACAAGCCTCCTGGGCATGTCTGTCGATGCAAGTTAGTCAACAGGTCTGTCGTGTAATCGAGACAACACTGCTGTTGGATGTAGAAAACGAATTTAACCCTCAAGCTTGGTCTGGCCAAGAGAGACGACGGCGAAGTGATTCCGATGGGCGACCTAGCCGCGGCGCTAAGCCAGAACCGCCGTCCCCGCCGCCGCGTCGGCCGTCGTGTCGTCATCTACCCCCGACCGCTCAGGCCGTGTCTGACCGCAGGTCTGGGACCTGTCCACGCGCGAGCAGTGGTCCAGCATCGCCTGCAAGGTGACCATGGTCGGTCACACAGACACCGTGCGCTGTGTGCAGGTGAGGGGTCGGGCCGGCGGCAAGGGCCGGGCTGGCGCGCGGCCGTCGCCTGCGCGGACTCGGGGGCGGTGTTTATTTGTGGTAGCACAGCATGCAGCGGCACCTAAGTGGAAACCCCAGAGCACCGTGTAAAGTGCAATGTCCAAATGAAGCGTCTTAGTCTCACGTCATCAGACGCTGGGCTGTTCAATAGTCCAGCGCGGTCAGGCGCCATTGGTCATCAGGCGGTCATCAAGAACCACTCGCGGCATTGCGTCGTCGCTACAAGCATCCGCTATTGCTGGGTGGTAACGATAGTGCTTGCCATCCACTCAACGGCCGTTATGCGTTGGCTTAAGGGCGACCCCCTGCAGCTGGTGGGGTGTCTCGGCCTGCCGCTGCTGAGACGGTACTAATTACACCCCCTGCAGCTGGTGGGATGTCTCAGCGTGCCGCTGCTGAGACGGTACTAATTACACCCCCTGCAGCTGGTGGGGTGTCTCTGCCTGCCGCTGCTGAGACGGTGCTAATTACGAGTGGCCGCCAGCTGGCTGGTGCTGACCTGAAATATGAGAACGTGACGCTGTGACGTGACGTGACGTCTTAATAGCTCGGTCCGGTCCCATTGTCACACTTTATAACAGCTGATATGTTTGCATTCGCTAACCGCAGGCGTATGCAGTTTTCTATAACAGAAGGCGGGATTCCTTAACGCTGTGCGGGATGAACCGTTGGGGCATTTGCTCGCATGCTGATGAATCACACTTGGTTTTCCTGCAACGTTGTATAGCACCACGGTTTGGCCTCCCCCATTCGATTAACATGGAAACATTTGAAATTTTCCAATTACGAAAAAGCTGAAGAACACGGGCCGGAACAAGATCTACGACTCTAGATGTTTGCGGCCGGACGTCGCGGGCGGTACGGGAGTATCGTATAGTGACGGAGGAGAACACGGTCCATTATGTCGACAAACGCCTCGGTCGATTCGTGCATGCGACTACTTGCTCTCGTGTGCAAACCACGTGTCTGGCCGTTATGGGACATTTTCATGTTCGCTGTCAGATACCAGCAACCAGCGTAGATCAAAACGCGAGGCCAACTGTTCGTGGGTGAACTACAGAGTACAGCTCACGATCCTACCTGGAATTGGCCGACCCTTAGGTGCACCAGTAACCGACCGAAAAGCGGTCACTGTTACCTCTTCTGAAGCTGATCTTGAATACTAGATGCTGTTGAGAGATTCCTCCCCTGGCTGCGTGCGCTCTGGCTGCTGTCAGCGCGTGCTGACCAGCCTCTCCGACTGATTATGACATTCAAGTGAAAGAGGCGTACAACCAAGGTGATTGGGACAGAAAACCTGCAAAGTTTCTCCTTCCGAAATCTTGGCGTTTTTAATCATGCCTTCGTCAAAATTGCCGACGCCACATAACACTGGAAACTTAGCGATTTCGCTGATAAATTACGCGGACTGACGAGACTCAGAGCCGGCCCCCTCGCCAGCCAAATTGGTGGTGAATTAGCGCGCGAATTCCACGTATCAGTGAACCCCCGCCTCTTCAGTTGTCACGAAAGGCGAACTCACCAATGCATTAATCATACACATTGGTATCGGCGGCCACGGCTGTCTGGCTTTCCCAGCTCATTTGTTAGCATCATCTACACAGCTGGCAACCCTCACATCTGCTATCGCCTCGCTCGTCCCACGCCGCACAAGGCGTCCTGCTGATCCCTGACGACTCGGCTAGTGACGTGATTTGAACACTGGCCGCCGGCTGACCGGCAGATGGACGTGGAGAAGGTGGTGAGTGGCTCATACGACCGCACACTGCGCGTCTGGTGCGTCCGCTCTGGCTGCTGTCGGCGCGTGCTGACCGGCCACACGGGCCAGATCCTGTGCCTGCGCTTCGAGAAACACCAGCTGGTCAGCGGTGCCGCCGACAAGACCATCAAGGTGGGAGCACCGGGGAACGTGGCGAACGCTGAGTACCATCCCCGTGTGCTGGACTGGTCCCCGGCCCGGCTCTGTTTACCTGGCGTCAGGCGTCTCATGTCCGCGTCTGGCCTGTATGCGGGGTGGGGATGGTCGTCGGTTTCATAGCAGGCTAGTGTGGTCCTCGAGTCAACCTGTGAGAGACTATCGATCGCCTTTTTGTGCGTACAGGGCTAATTTGATCCCTGACTGTACAGACCTCACAGGTTTCCAACCTTACGCTGCTCATCCAATAGAATAAGTCTCTGTGCGCCGGACAGGCGTGGTGTTTGACGCCCCCCCCCCCCTCTGCGCCGAACAGGCATAGTGTGTGACGGACCTTCTCCCTATGCCGGGCAGGTGTGGTGTTTGACGAGCCCTCTTCCTCTGTGCCGGGCAGGTGTGGTGTTTGACGAGCCCTCTTCCTCTGCGCCGGGCAGGTGTGGTGTTTAACGAGCCCTCTTTCTCTGCGCCGGGCAGGTGCGGTGTTTAACGAGCCCTCTTCCTCTGCGCCGGACAGGTGTGGTGTTTGACGAGCCCTCTTCCTCTGCGCCGGGCAGGTGTGGTGTATGACGGGCCCTCTTCCTCTGCGCCGGGCAGGTGTGGTGTTTAACGAGCCCTTTCCCTCTGCACCGGGCAGGTGTGGTGTTTGACGGGCCCCCTTCCTCTGCGCCGGACAGGTGTGGTGTTTGACGGGCCCTCTCCCTCTGCACCGGGCAGGTGTGGTGTTTAACGAGCCCTCTCCCTCTGCACCGGGCAGGTGTGGTGTTTGACGGGCCCCCTTCCTCTGCGCCGGGCAGGTGTGGTGTTTAACGAGCCCTCTCCCTCTGCACCGGGCAGGTGTGGTGTTTGACGAGCCCCCTTCCTCTGCGCCGGGCAGGTGTGGTGTTTGACGAGCCCTCTCCCTCTGCACCGGGCAGGCTGGTGTTTGACGGGCCCCCTCGTTCCCGCCGGGCAGGTGTGGTGTCTGTCTGCCGGCCGCTGCCTCCGCACGCTGCCCGGCCACGAGGGCGCCGTCACGACGCTGACGTTCGACGAGCAGCGCATCATCTCCGGCTCGCTGGACTGCACCATCCGGCTGTGGAGCGTCGACACAGGCGCGCCGCTGGCCGTGCTGGACTGGATCAAGAACGAGGGCCACACAGGTGCTGTGCGGCTCAGCTGGCGGATGGCCGTGGGGTGGGCAGACTAGGGTAGACTGGCTGGCAGTGTGGTGTGCTCAGTGGCCTTGGACATTCATCCGGAACTGGTGGCACGCATAAGTACGCCTTCGTTGCCGCGTTACAAATCGGCTCCCAGTTGTTACACGGGTTCGTTATCAATCGGGGACGTAGTCTCGTGCACTAATTTGGGAGGCCGATGGTGCTTCACCGGTAAGAGCTGTTCCTGTGGTGCGCTGTGTGCTGTGCTGTCTGCTGATCGTCTGGCTGTCGGCGGCAGGTGTGGTGCACTGTGTGCCGTGCTGTCTGCTGATCGCCTGGCTGTCGGCGGCAGGTGTGGTGCGCTGTGTGCCGTGCTGTCTGCTGATCGCCTGGCTGTCGGCGGCAGGTGTGGTGCGCTGTTTGGTGGCCGACCGATGGCGCATAGTGTCGGCGTCGGACGACAAGACGCTGAAGGTGTGGTCGCTGGAGACCGGCCGCCGCCTGGTCACGCTGCGCCAGCACACAGACGGCGTCACCTGCGTCCAGTTCAACGACTCCGTCATCGTATCCGGCAGCTACGACAAAACTGTCAAGCTGTGGGATTTCAGTGTCTGCTAGCGCCGGCCGCCGGCTCCCGTCGGGGGAGGTCGCGCGCGGCCCGGCTGTGGCGACAGCCGCTCGCCTGGCGGCGGTCCGCGGAGAGCCGCCCACCGGCCGCGGCCACCGCCGCCGTCGCTTCGTCGTGTATCTGCCGTCCCGCTGTCGGAGTGTGGTGTTCAGACGCGTCGGCGTCGCTACCGTGGAATCTCCGTGTCCGGCCGCTACGTTGCTGTTGTTTGATCTGTTGTTGCGTTGTGTTCTGCCCCGTGGGAGGGAGTGGCGGCCGCCAATAGTGTGTGCGGATAACGTCCCCCGTGCCTGCAGCTCCCCTGGGCAGACGGTGGTGCCTCCTGGGAGCGATCACTATATGTCAGAGGTGCCCGCCGGCCCCAAGGGCGCCCGCGTGTTCGCGCTGTGGCAGCAATAATTGATCGCTAATAGTCAACCATGTTGACGTCAGGGCTATTGATATTGCTTGCGTGCTTCCGATGGTGACAGCTGTATGGATGATGAAATCTCCCTCCGCTGAGGTGTTCATAATACCGAAGAGCAGTCTATTTTGTGTACAAACACTGCTTTCTTGTTTTTAATATTTATACATATTTGTTTTAATACACTGCATGTCGTTATGCGTTGTATTAACAGCTCCGCTGCTAGTGTGAGTTCTAGGCGAGTCAGTTCTCTGCGGGCGCCGACGTAATTCCCGCCGGAGCATCCCCGGCATCCCACCGCAGGCCGGCACTGCTCTGCGCACGTGCGTACATGCGCAGAGACGGGGCTGGCGACACTCGCGCAGTTCCATCACGGCTATATCACAGATCACAGACGTTCGAGGCCGCGCCGCGCACGCACGCTCACACCAATATCGCTGCCGGCCAAATACGGGCACCGACAGGCCGCCGTCTTCTGACCGGGGACCCTATCTCCCGGCGTCGCGCCAGCAAGCCACCACCGGTGGCAGACCAAACCGGCGTGGCCGCCGCACAGAAAGCATGGCACGGAAAGCGACCGCAGTCCAGACTGATGATAAGAAACGTGAGACATTGGGCGATGAAAACAACAACGCGCCCGAGATACGTCAATTATAATGATGTTCGCAACACCAAGCAAAGCCTGTAATGCTGTGATCGCTTAGAATGGAAGCTGGCCATCATACCACGGCTCATTTTCCCGCGTAGCGCTCAGTCATGCGCGTATCCTATATCACAACACAAATACATCAATCACAGGAGGGAGTCACTGCGAGGACACAGGCGTATAACCATGGAATGTTCTTCGGCGCTGGCTACGCCCTTCACTGGTTCCGAGCAAGAGGTCCTAACCACCGCACGAGGAAGACGAACCAGGATATGTTGCGTTCCCGGCATTCCGGACAACCGGCGTACTCGGCGGCATTCGGGGCGCACCGGCTGACGATTCCAACACGACAGAAAGTGGCAATACTGCACCACGGACTGGCCAGCGATCCCGGCTCTACCCCACCCGAGGACAGCAGCGACTAGACAGCGGACAGCGCCGGCGTCGGCCAACCTTGCTGAGGACGGGCCGCCGGCATCGGTGCCGAGCAACGTGGCTCACGTGACCGGCTGCACCGCGCCGACGACATACGAGGACGGACAGCGTACACCTACCGGCCGTGTCGACCCGGGGCTCGAGACAGGCCGGGAAGCATCCCCGGGTCGGACCATACAGCAGGTCTGCTAGACAGCGTTCCCAATCGTAACGGGCCCAGAAGGGGTCTCGGACCACACATCAGGTCTGCTAGACAGCGTTCCCAATCGCACCGGGCCCAGACCACACCACTCGGACCACACCAGTTCAAGGCCCCTTCCCATACCACATCAGGACAAGGAGGGGCCCCAAACCTCACCAGCCCTGGGCCGCCTCCCACACCATACCAGGACTGGGAGGGGTCCCAAACCTCACCAGCCCTGGGCCGCCTCCCACACCATACCGGGACCGGGAGGGGCCCCAAACCTCACCAGCCCTGGGCCGCCCCCCACACCATACCAGGACCAGAAGGCGCCCCAAACCTCACCAGCCCTGGGCCGCCTCTCAGACCATACCAGGACTGGGAGGGGCCCAAACCTCACCAGCCCTGGGCCGCCTCCCACACCATACCAGGACCGGGAGGGGCCCCAAACCTCACCAGCCCTGGGCCGCTTCTCAGACCAGGCCAGACCACAGCGCAGGAGCTTGTTCCTGTGGACCAGTCTGACAGATGATGGGCCTTCTAGACCAGTCTGACAGGTGGCGGGTCCTCTGGACCAGTCTGACATGTGGTAGATCTGGAGGTTTGGCAGGTGGCGGATCCTCCACACCAGACGGCAGGACCGCCGGATGCCGCCACAGCCTACAGCAGGCCGAAGCCGACGTTACCTTCTCGGAGGGCCAGCAGCAGCGCCCGCTCGAAATCCTGGTAGGTGGCGTGGTCGGCCAGGCATATCTGGTTGAAGCTGTCGGCACCAGCGCGCCACGTGCGTGAGTGTCCGGACGACAAAGTCATCCATGTCGGCGGGAAACCGCACCGACCACGGAGCACGTTCACATCGCGACCCAAACTACAATGCTGCGTTTTTACGTTAAACAAACTGCATTGCCGAGTAAGCGACCACCAAGCTATATAGTTGGTATAGCCTGGTGCTGCAGGGTTCAAGACAGCTGATATTTCAAGTAGTTCCTTTCCATGCAACGCCACGATGGAAACGAACGCCACGTGTCGCGATCCCTCTCCCGCCTGCCACAGTCCCCATGGGCTACCAACGCCACAATCCCCGGCCCCCTTTGTCCTTATCAGCCGCCATGGGTAGCTGATGCAGTTGGGGTCTGCCAGTGAACGGGGACGAGTGCCGCACGCCTTGCGGAAGAGCTGCTTGGGCTTTAGCTTTGCTTGTGTTAAGAACGGCCTTTGGGCGAGTTTCACGTCCGGGCTGAGGTTTGGAAAGGTGAATATTTGTGGATATGACATTTGAAGCCCGAAAAAAATCCGATGTAACACACAAAACGTAACACGACATTCATTCATACCCGATGAGGCAATCATGAACGAACGCTTCCCATCTCCGCAAAACGAGTAGCACATCAAATCCCGGCTATCGTTTGGCAGCCCAAGAGATACCCCCTGCTGAAACGACCAACGCCTGCCCGTGTGCCCTCAGAATGTAGTTTAGGTGTTTTCAGACACCGATACATGTTAGGGACATAGCCATGTTGCATGCTGCACCATGCAACTCGCAAGCTGACGCCAATCTGTAACATAGGTCAAGTCATAACAAAACCGCGAATGCGTTTTTACTTTTCCTGCATTTACGTACGTAATTCCCATCCCTCATTCAAAAGTACAAATTCGTATCAATGACATGTCGACATCGGTGTCAGTGTCGACTCCGCTAACTGAATCAACAACAGGGATGTTTCTGTTTATGGAACATACAAAGGGCACCACAAGTAATATCACAAGTGAGGGGCCTTCATACACTCTGCCCATCGCAATATCCAAACGCTCACGACACAAAACTGGCGGCAGACCCAGCCAATCCTCGATCGGCAGCCTTGGCTGACTCGGCGCCTGTCTAATGCCAAACTCAGAGCGCCGTAAGGGCTCCTCGATGCTGTTTCGGGGGTGCTCCGACCGGCCGCCGGCCGCTCGCTCACGGCAGCTCCTCCTCGCGCATCCAGTACAGCAGCGTGCCCGTGCTGGCCGCCGGCGTGCCGCTGATCCAGGGACTGTGGTTGTACGCAGTCTGGGAGGGCTTCGTCAGCAGCGTACCCCACCAGTCCTTGGACGACTTAAATGTCGTCGTCAGCAGAGGCCATCCATTGAGATAGCCTTCCATGTTCACCCACGGCATCGTCTTCTGCAAGCTGGGCTTGCCGTAAGACCACTCGTTGAACACGCGGACCAGCGTGATGTCGCGCTGGTTGTCCGTTTCCGGCATGAACGTATAGTGCCGAGGCGCCAGCCAAATACCGCCCCACTGCCGGCGGCCCGTCTGCGCCTGCGCCTCCAGCCGATATGCGAAGCGGGCCCCCGAGCCGAGCGCCTTCAGCGCGTCGCCCCGGTCCAGGATGGAGTAGTTGTCAGTGAGTGATGGCGCGCCGGCACTGCGCCGTCGCACGCTCAGCAGATCCCAGCCGTCGCGAGTGGCGGCGGTTAGCAGCAGAGTCCAGCCGCCGCCGTCGTGGCTGAAGTCACAGTAGGTTGGCCCGAGCCCGGCCAGCTGGTACACGCCGTCCGGCAGCGTCCCGTTGGCCCGCTGCAGCTGCAGACAAGAAGACCGCGGCTTGGCGTCGGCGCCAGGACCGCGCGGCGCGTCCGCGGCCGCCTTCAGCGCGTCGACGGCCTCCTCCAGCGCACGCAGTCGGTCCAGGGGCGGCGGGTCGGCGGTGCACGGCGGTGCAAGCGCCAGCCGCGCCACCTCCGCCACCTGGGAGGCGAGAAGCAGCGGTGCTCGCGGCTCAGGCGCCGCCGGCGGGTGAGCCCAGACGGCGCCCAGTACGGCGCTCACGCCGAACCACAGCAGCGCCGCGGACACCATGGCGGGACGTATCTGCTCGCCGTGCGGAACGTGGCCGTTAAATAGGTCCGGCTGGCGCCTGTCAACAACGGCGGGCGGCCGTGATGACAGGGACCGCGCGGCATGTGGCTCCAGATGGGAGGTGACGAGAGATGGGAAATCCGCGGCTAACGCCTGGCGTCCGGGTGTCGCGCGGCCAGCGTCAGCGTCTGGCGTCTGCATCTCGTACGGCCGGCACGTCTCAGTGTCAGCCATTCGTAAACACGCTCTCAGGACGCTCCTGCCCATCGGCGGGCAGGTCCGGCTGCGCTCCGTACCCGCCATACGGCACGGGCCAAAGACAGGCTCCGAGTGAAGCCCGTCACCGTGTGGGATTTCCAGCGAGCCCGCCTGTCGACAGCAGGACTTCCCTAATGACAGCGATGACTAGGAATACAAACCAACGGTGATACGTGGAAATAAACTTGAACTGGGTTTTAGAAACAGGAGGCAACGCAAGGTGCCCCTCGGCCTTCAGCGTAATGGTCGAATGTGCACCCGGGGATCCTATGACTTCCGGCCTAGTCGGCCAAATATCTTGTAAGTGTTGACATGTGTCGGAAATTTTCCTACCTTTATCCATACGCACTGCGCAAACCAACATTAACAGCCTTAGGGCGTTGAATCAGTTCTCATTTCACCCCCATGAAAAAGTTCAGGTCCCAATTCCACGGATCATAATTTTTTCTCAAGTACCAAATGCTATGCTGTCGCTGAACACTCCACGTGAGCTCAACCAACGGGGTTATTGCTTGAAGACCACAAATGCATTCCCTTGAGCTCTGTCTCCTGCTGGCAGCTTCACAAACGAACGGCAGTACCGGTTGTAAGCACTGATACCGGGGCAGGCTCGGTACGTCGGCGATCCAGTGAGCGAAGGTGCCAGTGGTTGCGCAAGAGTTGGTTGGCCGAGGCCACGTCACGTCAAGTATTCAAACCATCTCAAACGTTTTCAGTTAACTTCAAAACGCATCAACACTGTCGTCAAATATTACGGACCAACTAAGCTCAAGGGAAGTTGCGAGCCCCATCTAACTAAACCCGCATCATCTCAAATTTCTCGGTGGAAGTTGATGGCGGTAAGCTTCGACATGCACCACGTGTACTCTGCAGATGTTCATGACGTAAAGGCCACAAACACCGAGCTGTGGGAGGTGGCAAGACCAACAAAATTAGTGCTTTCAAGACCGGAATATCGCTGGTTATTCAGACAACCATTACCACATCTCCTCCCACACGTACAACACCCGGTTCAATTTACGACAACCGCAAACTACCAGCGGCCCAGAAGTTAATAATTACACTCAGGATGTGCACGCCGTGGCAACTGAGCTCGCAAAAATGTGCATCCCTCGACAGGTGTGGCTCGAATGTGGGAAAGTTTCCCCTTTCCAAGTATTACTGGCGAGCAGGGCTGCAGGAGACAGCGACACGTGTGTCAGACTGCAACAATGTCGGCGGCTTCCGAAGGTTGTCAGCGTGTTTCACGAATGCCTATCTCCAGGACAGCAGCGCGGAGCTATTTGCCGAGGTACGCACATCTAAATCCCATCCATTTTATAGCTCACTTCCACCTTGGGGCTATTGAGGTGTTGAAGCACATCGTTGAATGGGAATAATATAATAAACGATCCAAGCGTTCGTAGAGGCCAGTGCAGCGGAGAAGAGAACGGAAGCCCAACCGAGAGCGGCCGCGGCCGCCCTGGCCGTCAGCTGCGGCGGAGGAGAGGACGGAAGCCCAACAGAGAGCAGCCGCGGCCGCCCTGGCCGTCGGCTGCGGCGGAGGAGAGGACGGAAGCCAAACCGAGAGCAGCCGCGGCCGCCCTGGCCGTCAGCTGCGGCGGAGGAGAGGACGGAAGCCAAACCGAGAGCAGCCGCGGCCGCCCTGGCCGTCAGCTGCGGCGGAGGAGAGGACGGAAGCCCAACCGAGAGCGGCCGCGGCCGCCCTGGCCGCCAGCGCCGCCGGCTGACGGCGCCTACCTGACCTCTACCTGACCTCTAATCACCGCGGCGGGGCGGCCACCCGCGACCGAACCCCGGCGGGCTCTCACCACGTGTGCGCCACCGGCAGCGCGCCGAACTCTGGGTAGCTGGAGATCTGGAACTTGGGCACGAGCTCGGCGAAGCCGCCGGCCGGCAGGCGCGCGCAGCCGGTGGTGAACTGCAGCAGGCGCGAGGTCTCCTCGGCTGGCGGCGCGGAGCGGCCGGTCAGCATCCGATGGCCACCGCTGGACGGCCCGATGGCCACCAGGCGCGACACCCGCCCACCCGCCGGCCCACACACACCACTCAGGTGGGATGGCACACTCTCAGCAGGCTCCAGCGAGCGCCCGAGTACAATGAGCAGTGCGCGCAACTCCAGATCCGAGACCGGTATTCCGCATGACTCGCGCTGCATAGCTTCGCCAGACCTATCACGACAGCTGACAGTGCGACCACGACGCCGGGTAAAGCGCCCGTAAATATTACACCGAATGGGCACAGACGCAAACGAGGTTGCCAGCTCAAAACTGGGCGAAAACGGATCAGAAATGGTCACTGGTTCCGATCAAGACCACTTGGGGTGGCGGACCGGCATGGGCCAGATCATTTTCGTGCCCAGGCACACGAGACGCAGCTCATGCCGCGCGTACCTGAAAAGTTTTCCAACGCCGTCCAGAACCATCTGATGACTTTTTCGAAACTCGAGGTATGGTCGGTAACTGTGTGATGGTTCCTCAGCTCGGCCACGCTGAACTCGCTGCTGCCACACATCAGAAGCTGCCGGCGCGGTCACGGTGATAACAGGAGATTAAAGACCACTATCCGCACCAGGCCACACGCATGCGCACACGCACGCACGCACACACGCACGCACGCACGCACGCACGCACGCACACACACACACACACACACACACACACACACACACACACACACACACACACACACACACACACACACACACACACACACACACACACACACACACACACACACACACACACCACACACCACACACACACACACACACACACACACACACACACACACACACACACACACACCACACACACACACACACACACACACACACACACACACACACACACACACACACACACACACACACACACACACACACACACACACACACACACACACACACACACACACACAGCACACCACACCAGCAGCTGAGGACCTCGCGAGTAGCGCCATTCATGGTCACCATGCACAACAGGATGGCATATGGGCATCTCCCACGTCATGTCAACGCTGGCGCGCAAACGGCTGGGGTCTATCAAAAGTTTTTGCTTCCATTTCCAGGAACAAGCAACAACATACAATTCCAAAAAGCAAGGTCTCGACCCTAGAAGATCCCACAAACGGTTAAAATTGTGCTATTTCCTTGGATTTCAGCCATGACGCCCCGGACGCAGTGTGGTATTGAATTTCCGGTCAAATAGTACTTGTCTCCCTTAGCGGCCACCCTACGGTCCAGACGCTGCAAACATATTGCAGGGTAAAGGGAAAACTCTGGAAAACCCCAAATGTAGCCATGAAAACGTGACGTACACTACGCATACCAAGCTTTTACATAGCTAACAGGACACAGAAGGACAATTTCGCACTTTCATGTTAAGCCTCATGGCCAAGAGTGTTGTCATCTTCCGTGGCACACCTATGGTGCAGCCACTTCTCATCAGACGCTCGGCGAGGCCAAAGCTTGGCCATGTGTAAAAGTTGCATCATTTGCCATGTATCAAAGTTACATCACTACCCAAAGAAGTGCTATAAGAGTCATAACGGAATTCTGCACCTTTTTTATTACCTCGGGCCAATTTGGCGTGAGGCTCATTCCCTTGAAGGACACCGATAAATATGAGACTCGATCATGCACATGATGCACTCTATCACCGAGAGCTCTGCATGCACCCCTGCCCTTCCCCCTCCCCTCCCCCCCCCCCCCCGGTGTGACTGACCTCGAGTTCGTTCTCGTCGAAAATGCTGAGCAGCTGGTCGGGTACGAGGTCATTGAGGCCGCGCAGGAAGGCCTCCACCTCGGCACGTACTCGGGTACTCAGCCGGTACTGCGCCAGCGCCTGCAGGTACTCCAGCCGGTTGTCCACCGTGACAGGCGTGCGGGCGCCACCGCTGCGCAGCTCCACCGTCTGAGGGGGGTGCAGGTGAGCGGCCGTGTGCAGTGAACGGGCGGTGACGCCGGTTAACAGTGTACTTAGGCAGCTGATATTGCGTGTTGGTCGCTCGGGCGTCAGACAACTATGCACCGGCATTACAACTATAAAGTACTCTTGACCGTGAGCCCAAAACGCCGTCCGGGTCGGTCAGCTAACATGATCTGATACATGGTCCGTGTTCTGAGTTCACCCTGAGTTATTACTCTTCACCATGACCTTCCATCATTACCTGACTCCGCCCTCTCACATGTTACGCCAGCGGTTAGCCGCCACTGAAGCTGACCATCACAACTGAACACAACCAGTCACAATCGCCATCCGCATGAGTCGTCACAGTCACTGGCAACAGTCGTACATCGCCCAAAACAGCTTCCAAAACCAGCTCTCTGAGAACGTCAGTCATATTGATAAAGCAGCGATCCAACCCTATCAACGCACCAGCAGCCTGAAGCCCAATAACGAGATGTGTAACACTGACCAAGGCGCCATGTGACGCCATTTTCCCAGCCGTCCAGCATCAGCCAAATGCGCGAGCAGCGAGTCACCTGAGCCAGTCTGCCCCGGTCGTCAAACTCCTCGTCCACAAAGGTGAGCTCGAAGGCGGCCAGCTCGGCGGCCGAGCACGCCTCGATAGTGGCGATCTTGGTGCGGTACAGCTCTCGGTCATCTTGCTCGAAGTGCTGAGAGGGAGGGAGGGGCACGGGCTGCAGATCACGTGTCAACGGCATGCACCGCACAGTAACACGGGTTCGCTTCGTGCTGGCTGAGCAGTTTAGTGAAAAAAGCTTCCTGAGCTATTCAGGATGTCTTGTTAGAGAACGGATAAGAGGATAGGACCGCAGCTGTATTGTTAGGGAACGGATACGAGGATATATCCAGCTCACAGGATAAGACCTAGTCACGCCCTAAGACCAGAGCTGAGGCGCTGTTACATCTCCCTAGCTGCACTTCATCGAGGCGTCCTACCCAGGCGTTTGTCTGACAGTTAGGCCAACATATTTCCTGGGAACCTCGTGCAAACCACGCCACGAATCACGCAAGCATTCTCTTAAAATAGCTCCAGACAGCAGTCGATCACCCTCTCCCTTATCGGCGCTGCAGCCTAGTCCCTCGCCCGCATCCTGTGGGCAGCGTAACTTCACGGTCCGCCAGCGTCCTCCCCAGCGCCGGTTGACCACCCACCTTGTAGCTGACCCTCAGGCCGATCAGCTGCGACAGGAAGGAGCGCGTGAAGTTGGCGCGCACCAGCTGTCGCGTCGCGCCGCCCTGCGAAGATTCCAGCAGGCACTTGCCCACCACGCGGCCGGCGAACACGAAGTGGCGCAGCCGCAGCGCTGGAGGCCGCCGGTGGTTGGGGTGCACCAGCGCCTGGCTCGAGTCGTCAAGCGTCACGAAGAGGCGACCGCGCGGTTCGAACAGCGCCTGGCAGACCAGCTCGAACCACTCGCGCCGCACGCCGCCGTAATCGAGCGCCTCCTCGTCGTCGAAGCGCACCTCGAACGGGCGTCCCCAGTCGGAGTCCGAGGCGCCACGCAGCGCCGCCATGGACGAGTCGAGCAGCGCGGCGCGGCGCACGGTCAGCGGTAGCGGTCGCCGCGAGCCGCCGCCCGACTGGCGCTCTAGCTCGCGGTAAAAGTGACGCCGCTTGTCGGCGAACGTCTCGCTGCCGCCCACATTGCGCAACAGGAAGCGCGTGAACGTGGCGGCCATGGTGTCGCGGTCCTTGAGCGTTAGCTCGAGCGCCGGCTGGCAGCCGTCGGAGACGAGCAGCGACGGCATGCTGGCCGTGTTCCGCTCGTTGGTCGGCGTCAGGCGCGTGCTCGGGCACAGGCGGAACGTGTAGAGCTTGCGTCGCAGGAAGAGCAGCATCGTCTCGTGCACGGTCAGCTGTTTGGGCGAGACCGAGCACCACACGTCCTTGGGCTTGTTCAGCGGCCGCTCGTCGACGCACATCAGTCGCGCCGAGAAGGTGACGCCGCGTGACTGCACATGCTTGCGGACCGCCGACATGTTGTAGGCTGACGAGCGCCGACAGCGTGAGACGACCGACCGAGCACGCGGAGAACAGGCTGACGAGCGCCGACAGCGGGAGACGACCGACCGAGCACGCGGACAACAGGCGGCTAGATAACACGCCTTATGACCGGACAAAGCCATTAACGTGGAACAGAGAGCGACGCAGTCCGACGAAAGAGGTCATCGTAACGTAGCAATCTCCAAACACTCTATCCACCATATTCATAAAAGATATATCATTATCTTATAACAAGCATATAACAGGTCCTCAGTCACTTTTCATTTGCACGATAGATGTAATCAAGCCGAAAATAAGCCCCAAATCCAGACCCCGTGTACGTCTCAGAGACTTGCCCCGCGCCGGCAGGCGAATAGATGCCACCGCGACCAGCCAGCGGAGCCGGAGGGGGGGGGGGGGACCGCCGCGCCCGGCGGTGCCCCGGCACGCACCGCTCAGCACGATCACGAAGAAGTGACCGTTGCGGATGGTGGTGCCGCCGTGGGTGATGTTGGCCCGGAAGCAGCCCTCGCGCGAGAGCACCAGGCGCAGGCTGACGCGCCGCCCCTCCAGGTCCCACTGCTCGTACGGCTCCACGGGCCGCGCGCCGTCCAGCTGCCGGGCCCCCCGCAGCCGTCAGGGCGCGGAGCGCGCCGCGTGCCACGATGTGGCTCCACAGCGCACGCAACAACACATCAGGCAGTCATCCAACGAAAGATTCTTCTTCCGTACATTGTCATTTCAGGTGTGTCGTGTTTATCCAGCTGAGCGGGTGGGACGGTCGGCCGACACCCACCTCCGACACGGAGACGGCGAGCCGCGGCCGGATCTCCGCCCAGTCGCTCGGCTCGCAGGGGTTGTTGAAGCCGTCGCGCAGGTCCACCGTCATCGGGTACGGCTGGCCCTGCGTCATCACCACCATGCTGCTGTGGCTCAGCAGTGTGGTGGTCTCGGCGTCCGGCAGGCCTGGCAACCGAGCGCCAGTCGAAAGGTGAGCGCAGGCCGAGTCGACATGGCGACGGGCTTCGGACTGAAACGTCTGGGGTTCGATTCCCACCGCAGGAAGCTTTGGCCAATATTGGTTTCTGCGACCGGTAGTGCGCCAGCGATTTAAACAAATACTTTCGATAAGCAACATACCAGTGATTGTGTCCACTACAGCAGCCGCAGATGTCTCCGACACTACGGGGTGATCCCGTATGTGTGTCGTCGGGGCTTTACGACGCACTCAGCTGCTGAGGCTAAATGGCGTCGCCTGCCTCTCACCCTGGCAGGAAGGGCGGGCACCGCGGGGAATCGAACCCCGTACCTCTGGTTTCACGGGGTGATCCCGACTGGGACATCCCACAGCACTACGCTGGCAATCGCGGCCGAAGAGCAGAGCTGCTGCAGAACCGACCTGGTGCTTACCCGCCCGAAAAACACGAAGGAACGGACTGCCCGCCACGTGGCGACCGCCCAGCGTCACCCCGATGGCGTACGTGCCGGCGGTGCGCGCCGGGAAGGTGCAGGTGGCGCTGCCGTCGCGCCGCTCCACGGCGCAGGCGACCGGTGCGCCGCGCACGTGCACTAGCACCTGGAGCGCGATCGGGCCACCCTCGAGGTCGTACGCGGCGCCGTCCAGCCGCTTCGCCTGAAGCAGGAAGCCGAGGGTAAGGGTAGACCGGGGAAGGCTTCGAACGACAGGCTGAGGGTCAGGGTGGACCAGGGAAGGCCCAGAGCGACAGGCTGAGGGTCAGGGTGGACCAGGGAACGCTCCGAGCGACAGGCTGAGGGTCAGGGTGAACCAGGGAACGCTCCGAGCGACAGGCTGAGGGTCAGGGCGGACCGGGGAAGGCTCCGTGCGACGCCACAGCTCCGAGTGGATGGCGACAGTACAGAAGGTTCGGTCTTCTGGCGGCTAAGCAGATCGGCCGGAGGGAGTGAAAAGCCGGGAGATCTATTGGCCCGACCGCATGGAAGCTACGAGGGGCAAAACAATCTCAAAGGATCAAGGCTCACTCGTCAGCAGAGCAAAGCATACACGGTGGGCGGGATTGCTTCCCACAATCGCAGGCGCAAGAAATCCGCCACGCAGCGGCGCCACAGCCAGCCACCGCCGTGTGACGTACCACATCAGCCACAGACCGGCCTGTAAACCCCCTCCCTGCTCCATCTCCGCGCCGGTGTCAGGGTCACCTCAACGTGGAGGGAGACGGTGCCGCCGACGCGCCGCCTGTCCTGCCACTGAAGCTCCACGCGGCAGCGGACGGCCAGCAGCAGGAGGCGACGCACGGGCTCCGACAGCGCGCGCCGGCCGCCGGCGTCCCGCCACAGCCGGTAGCCGAGGTCACCCAGAAACACGACGCACACGGCCACCAACATCCACCGCAACGTCACTGGGGACGGGTCAGCACAGGTCACCACTCGAGGCGCGTCGTTATCAGGGCGGGGTAAGCACCGGTCATTACCCGAGGTACATCGCTAGAAATGGGTAACAACAGGTCACCGCCAGATACACATCCATGGCGACAGGTTTGGAACAGGCCGCCGCCAGATGCATTACACTGGGGATTGACTCAACGCAGGTCATAACCAGATTCATCACAAATGATGAGGCCAGCACAGGTCATCAACAGACATGCTCCAATGGGCGCGGGGTCAGCAAAGGTCATCACCAGCGCCACGTCACTGAGGACGGAGTCAGCACGTGGTGTACCATTAAAGGCGGGTTCACCACAGGTCAACAGCCATCTACCACTGAAAGTGGGGTCAGCACACAAGTCATCACAAGTCATCCCAGGTCATCATACGTCATCACAAGTCATACAACGCCTGGCATGGGGTTCACACCGGCCACCGCTGGTAGAACACTTGGTCAGGAAGCAGCACAGGTCGGCTAAAAAGGGCTCGGATCAACACAGACCGCCACCAAGGGAGACCTGACAAGGGACAGGAGTATTTTCCACCCTGATACAGGTCCTTTCCTTTCATTTCACACCCTCACTTGACGCTCCTAAATACGCGAAAGTAACTTCATAAGGCGGTAACTGATGCCTGCATGTGCACACATTTTCTAAACCTTTGTAATTTAAGAGAAATGACACTATTTCATCTCATCGCGAAAGTTCACATTCCGTATCGTTTCTTGATAAAACTTCCAACTCATACGTCATTTTGGTGAGCATGCTTTCAATTTTGACACCCTAACACACCCTGAATTCGGCGGTCTCGCCCCGCCCCGGCACTTCGAGCACACCACAAGGATGACCCGGCCACAACACCGCGCGCGCGCCTTGAGACCCACCCCAACTGGAGCTCTTGGGTTGGGCCGCGGCGGCCTTCATCTCGTCAAACAGCTGACGCTTGAAGCCTGCCAGCGCGGCCGGGTCCGACGGCAGCTTGGCCACGGCGCGCACCATGCCCGGTAGGGCGCGCAGAACCGGGTCCGAATGTTCAAGCAGGTCGTCCAGACTCCACACCTCCACCGCCTCCAGCCTGACGGTGCAGCGGCAGCGTCAGAGACACACAGCGGGCCGTCCAAACTCCATACTTTTACCGCCTCCACCCTGGAGGAGTGAGCGGCAGTACCGTCAAAGATACGCCTCACCTCGTCCGCATACGTGCAGAGCTACCACGTGCAGGGCTACCACATGCAGAATGGCCTGCTAGTTTACCAGCAGCCTGAAGAGACACAGAAAGCTGATAACGACATATCCTTCACATAAACCACGGCAAACATGAAGGTGACCATGTGAGCTCCAGCTCCCACCGCCAGCTAACGCGTCCAGCACCACTGGCGCGAGGTGGCGGTGCGCACAGCGCGGGCGCCAGCGGCTGACCGTGCGCTCTCACCGCTCGGCCTTGTCGTCGTGGTGCACCTGCGCCAGCCAGAAGCGGAACACAAGCCGCTCGTACAGCTGGTGCGAGGCGGTCAGCAGTCGCTGGCCGTCCGGGCCCGAGATGACCGGGAGGGCGTGTGCGTCCGCCAGGTCCAGCATGTGGCGGATGCCTGCGGCAGAGCCGGAGCGCGGCTGAGCCGAATGCGCGCACCGGGCCACCACGGAACAGCCTGCTCGGCGTCCGCGCACATGACGACCAAAGCAGTCAATGACGGCAGCGGCAGACCGCACCGTTGCTAGACTGCTTTTGCCGTTGCCTGATATGGTAACGCGGCCACCTCAGCTGGGAGCTCTTCTGCTGCGGCCTGTCAGCCAAAGATATCAGTGCAGTCCCATACATCCCCAGGTCAACACCGCCTTTGTCCCGCTGTCGGGGAGCAGGAGAGCGTTCTGCGAGGCTTGACGGCGGCTGCGGCGCAGGTCACCACCGGCTGCGCGTTCGGCACTCTACCGCCCAAGCACGGCGGCGGAACATGCGCGAACATGAGCGCGACTGACATGATTGCAGAAACCTGATTTTGACGTTAGCGAACGAAATCAGGGCAATCAACGATAGCAAGATTCGATTTGTGGCACCCATTCTTGCAGCAGCATGTAGCCTCATACTGACCTCTCGTGAGTAGTTTGGGGCATCATTACGTTGTTAAAAAGTGGCAAGATACAAGGCAGATAGCTGAAATTTCACGATCTGACAGCACAACATAACTCTCTACCTCACATATCATATCATCACATATCTCAGATATCTCACATATTACAAATCATATCCTATCACAGTTGAGATTCAACTGTTGGCAGCGTAAGACGTTCGTTTTCCAAAAACAATAGGCATACGCCCACGGTTCTAGCAAGCGCAACGGAGAACAAAACGGCTTGTCATTGATTTTTCTAGCATAATTTGGAAAAAATTGCAGTTTTTCACCATTGCCTAGGAGATTACTTGCTGCAATTTGAAGAGGCTGGTGGAAGGGCCGGTGAGGAGGCTCACTCGTCGTTCAAGCGTACGGAAAGCGTGCTGTGTCGTGGCGAGATAAATCTACTGTTGCTGCGGTTTTCTCTACTCTCTATGGTCTTTCTGGACAAAAAAAGGAGCCGGATTAATGTAACTTAACCTCAAAATAATCTCTCACTTGCTTTGCACTGGACAGCATAAGCCAGTTTAGCATAAACCTTGTCTAGCCTCAGGCCAGAAATAATTATCTCTCCTCGGAAGTGACTCTAAGCCAGTCGAGGAAAAAGAGGCCTTGCATTGGCTCAAAAATGAAAACGATCCAAAATACTGAGGGGAATACCAAGAGTACCTAGGGGTGATCTAGGCTGTCTTGTCCTCAATGCATGCAGCAGGTGAAACACTGTTGGTGAGTTTCAACTGTCACATGTGAAATGTTGCTGCCAAGGGAGCAGTTCATTGACAGATCTAACACAGCAGTCGACAGGGGTCATTAATATCATCAGTGGAAAACTTGTTGGTCCCGAGCTCTCACGCTCACCAACAGGAGCTCACATTGTTCCCTCTACAGGAACAGCTTGAAATGCCCTTCAGATTGCAGTAGCACCTGCAGCCATGGTCAACTGTTTCCAACTGGGCTAGACTGCCTACATTTTCTTCATGTTTAATATTCCAAACACAAAGACACACACAATTACCCGGATGATATATGTGCGACAACAGCACCTACAGACAGGGTGAGTCTTTCAATATTCTCATTACTTATGGGCACAGTAAAGATGAGGAATAAATTATACAAGCTGTTGATTCAACATACAATCTGGGAGGCACACAAAAACCCTTGTCTCTGAAAATAATCTGCCTCAGCTAATTCCTCCCTCCAGCAATCTAAGAAGGTATATCAGTTGGATGCAGTAAATTTTCAGGTTGAGTGGATGCTACGAGGGCTTGTTTGTGTGAAAAAGGGTGACCCTGGGACTGTGGTATATCAATAAAGAGTTCAATGAACAGCAATTCACGATGCATGGGTCATTTCTATGACTGAACTCCCCTAATCAGTGATGTGTTTTTATATGTTTGATGGGAAGCAAAATCCATATGAGCACAACTAATATGGCTGAAAAAAAACACTCCAAAAAGAAACCTGAAGTCTAACCCACAGACACACATATTTCCCCTTGGATCACAGGCCATTATCAATGTCACATGCCTCACTATCATTTCCATGCACTGTTTTACACCTGTGTTGTTTTACTGTCTCACTGATATCTTCAACAATGTTTCCAGATTTTAGTTTTAGTTTCATAGATGCTGGTTCTCTTTTCAAGGTAGATAATAAATTGAACAAGCCAATTACTTGGTTCTGGAAAAATATGTGCAGAAACCAGTATGGTTATTTATTTCAACCTACCTGACTCATGACAGTTTCCATATATCTTAAATATACTTTTACAAATACCATACAGAGGAATTGGTGCTTAAAATAAAGCTGGCAGTCACATAATTATTGATATTCACATTTGATTCAACCAAATTTACATATGATTTCTTAAATAACAAAATTACATATTTACATGTATCAAAGCTTTGGCTGTCCCCTTTTCTCAACTGCCCTACATGCTGCACACACCAGACATTGTTTCTCTCTGCATGCAACTTAAGTACAGAGAATATGTTTGATTCTAGCAGTTTATCATGCAAGATTTAGACATCAAGATAGGGCTTGACACACCAAAATCTGGTGGAATTATACATTTTCACTCTGAAAAGTGAGGGACATTAAGCTCACGTCTGCAGTCAGCTGATACACATTACGTAATACATCACCCATGAGCACAGAACATTGATGCATGAGTATGCCTATGATGTCAACAACACATTTTTTGCCTCACCATGCTGGCTGAAAAGCTGTTCATAAATTGAGAGGCCCTGGTCAGAGAGCCACTTGGAAACAGCTGAATTCCATGGTGGGCTTTTGAACCACCAGTTGTAGATCACGATACATGTGATGCATATCCATATTTTCATTCTGAAACACAAAAAAAGAACAAACATGCATAGTAAAGTAATGACATATTTCAGTTATTACAATTTATAAGGCAACAGGAGTGTACATACTGATGGAATATACATATAAAGATGACACCCCCACACACACATCCATCTCAAATGGATTAAAGAAATAATAAAACATAATTATTTTCACTCAGCATGACACCAAATTAATGATATCACATCACAACTGGTCATAAAGTAAGGAAGAATAGTCAGCAACAACAGTTAGTCATGTTGTCAATTTTTCATAAAAACCCTTCTCAAACTGTTATCAGTCACACAGATTGGAGCAGAAAAATGCTGCTGTGAACAACAATTTAGGTATTAAAGGCAAATTTAGAGAGTGGGCAAATTTACTGACAACCTTTGGTACAAATTTCTTTGACCAGCTTCACAATGCTGTTTCTGATGCAGATGAATAGTGTTCAGTGGATAGAATTCAGCACTTCTCTGTGTGCTTAAATTTGTTGAGACTGAAAACAATGTGCCAAAATCAGTCGCACCAGCCCCAGGGGGTCTCAGATTTACAGTGTGCATGCATTATGTTGCTGCCAGGATGTCACTACTTTGCCAGACATATTCAGCACCACATACATTTTCTCAGTCTGATGTGGGAAAAATATTTTTCAGGTCAAACACAGCACCTACAGCCTCCATCTTTTTGTTCGGAAACACTGGGAGGACTTCTATCACTCGTGAAAAATATAATATACTTTCATGTGACACTGACCGGATGCATCTGAAATGTGTCCTGCCAGCACCTGAAAAGGCTGTCTCGTATCTATGCAACGAAATACCTTACCTTTCTGGACGGAAGATTCTTTCAGCTAGAAACCTCAGTCAGTGAATGTTCTAGTGCTGGAAATTTATGTACAGATATTCAAGTTCATGTCCCCAACGTCGTTCAGATAAACGCGAATGGGATCTTCAGCAATACTCAGGCATTATTCTGTCAAAGCTGCGCAATATCCGTAGACGGGATATGGCACCCTCAAAAGCTACCATATCAACATAATTGTGCAAAATCCTATCTCTCAGCAGAGCCCATAGTAATCCATCATAAAATTACTATCATGAACGCGCAAACTTGTACGTGTATGAAGTTAACAGCATTCCCATATTCAACAGCCCCTTTGACAGCAGCAAAACTTGCACAACAGACATCGCAAGATGCGCTGACATCCAATTTAAAGGTCATTCATGGGACGTTGAGGGGTTTGACCTGCAGAGGTCATACAGCTACGACGGTTGTGTAAAGCTACTTTCCGGTGACTATAACACGTGTCTCTACAACCTGAAAAGATCCGACCGCTTGGAAGTGCATCATTTTTACCTGCTTGTGAAAAATCCTTACGTGACCTGCTATGGTATTGACCGTTAGTTCAATTGCTTCCTCCTCACCTAAAACTTGGAGATGCAATCGGTGTATACGCTGATCTCAAACAGGCTTAGATCGGTTTCAGCACGTTAGGTTACCCTGCTTATCAATCATCACGCGTTATGTCAGCACACAACAGATGTCCACCTGGCAAGTGCGGCAATGTTTAGAGGTCAGAACTTTTAATGCGCCGCGACAATCCAAGAAATCCCCTGGTTATCTGAGTTGTTTCACACCGGTAATCTCTTTGAAAAAACAAGGTATGCATTACAATGGCTGCCAGAAAATGTGTCAATTATACTTCGGGCATCACGCGACCGCTCGTGTCCTAAACTCAGGCTCGGTCGCTTAACTTTTTCATTTAAAAATGGATATTTGTTGTAGGTAAAATTTAGATTAAAAAAGACAAATCGCTTTTAACATGTTAACTAATTTAACCTATCCTCAGCAAGCGTTATATTGTACATGACAGATGTCGATTTGGTCTGCGGTGAAGTCTAGATGCCACAGTTGCTGATGCCCTGTAAAGAGGCGAGAAGTTCCCTCGCTATCTGCGTTGTTTTAGCCTCGGTTGTTTTTCATTTGCAGCCGTCTTAGATAAAATCAGAGTGACCAGCATTTTAAGGTTGCAGGATACCATGTTAAAGTTAATGAAAAATAATGCATTGCGCCAGAAGTCCATTGTTTCCAGGTATTCATGAGTTTATTTTGTGAGGTAAGCTTCATGTTAGATCAAGCAAGTGGTGCCATCGACTCGGCGTTACGTTGCCTCTAGAGATGTATCATTTATACTTGCTTTGTAAAAGGTCATCATGTGACCTGATTTAACCTGATTACCGGTTCAGTCGTCTTATTTTATCACCTTAAAGCCCTGATGTAATCGAGGCATCTGCGTGTACATTCAACCAAAAGCAGACTTATGTCGGTCTCAACACGTTAGGTTTCTCTGTTGTCAACCACCACACGTTATATCTGCACGGAGCGGATATCCATGTGGCATGCGGTATGTGTGTGAAGAAAGCAGCAGTTCCATAATCATATTCAGCAGAAATCGACGACCCCTACGATTCTAATGAAACCTGTACCAAAGACAGGTTACCAAATACCAAGGTGCGCTGACCAAGACCGACGCAGGTGTGACGGCTGCAGAGCCGGCCGCGCCCAGACGCTTAGCCAGCCACGGTGCCGCGGGGCTCCGTCTGGCGGCTGCCTGTCATTTCCGTCCAGCTCAGCAGCGGCCTGACAGGCGGCGTCACGTGACCAGCAGTCGGCGAGTTTGATCAGCTCTGGCCGCAGTGACTCGCACGACGGCGCAGCTGGCGCTGGCTCAGCGCCTCCTGCCCTGACATTGACCCTGCTGCGCAGATGCGACTGCCGCCCATAAAACGGGCCCGCCGGCGACGCGGGTCAAACGGCCCCCCACCGCCACCATGCAGCTGCTGGCAGCGCTCCTGGCGTGCGCGGTCGCCGGCCAGGCATCCGCGTCCATTCACGAGTACTCGCCGCTCTACTCGTCGGGCCAGCTGGGCGCCGCTCCGGTGGCCATGCCCACCGAGGTGAGGCGGCCGCCTGTCCGCCACCGCCATCTGCCTTCACGTTTGACTGTTTGTCACGGGGAGATGGGCACGTGCCGTCAAACACTGAAACGCGGCAGCTAATCACAGCCGATCCCATTCAGGTGGGATGTGCGGTGCCTCTAACGCGGCAGCTAATCATAACTGGTCCGATTCAGGTGGGATGTGCGGTGTCTGTAACGCGACTCGATTGCCGACGCATCCCTCCACGATAAAACTAGAAAAACATGCTCTTCATCGCATGGTTATCACACCAGGAGCTGTTGCCATGTGTCACCAGGTGCCGCGGGCGGTCACACACCCCGGGCCGTCCCCCACAGGTAGACGCTGAACAGCGCACAGTGCACTTTCACATGAACCAGACGGAGCACTTTGAGGACGCCGAGACGCTGGAGGACTTCGCGGCAGGCTTCGCCGCCACACGACTCGTCAACCAGGGCGCCTGCTACTTGCGCCGCACGGTCGGCACGCTCGAGGACGAGGAAGACTACCTGAGGAACCACACCGGGTCCGTGCAGGAGGTGAGGCCGTCGTTCTGGCAGTGGCACCGGCCATCTTCTGCGGTCTGTGCGCCAGTACGCGCTATTTATCCGTGACATGAACGCAGGTGGCCCGATGGCGGCAAGTTCTGATCAAATGCCCATTAATTCACCGCATGGCGAGCAGTTTGTGAGACATGTACAGACTACAGACCGAAGATGGGTGTGACAAAACCTTCCAAAGCGCCTAACCGGATGTCAAAGCCTGCCACCCCCAAATATTGTGCTGGACATGAGTGCTTGAGTCAAATATTTTTCAGTTACCGCGCAATGGCTTCATTAAAAGACCCAGAAACGAGGTACAGCATATTACACGCCCCCGCAAAGCGGCACAACACAGCCCATTGCCACCACATGCCACTAACTGGCACGCTGGTGGCAATGGGCAGCCGTCCAGCCTACTGACGGGCCCCGGCGGATGTGATGGGGGGGGGGGGGAGGGGGGGAGCGGCGAAGCGGACGGAGCCGGCAAGTCAGTGCCGTCGGCCTAGCGCCGACGTCGGCCCTCTCAGTGTCGGCCGAGGGCAGGAGGACCTCGCTCACCGCGTATGCTTCCAACTCTGAGGACCTCGCTCACCGGGTGCGCTCTCCGCTCTGAGGACCTCGCTCACCGCGTATGCTTCCCGCTCTGAGGACCTCGCTTACCGGGTGCGCTCTCCGCTCTGAGGACCTCGCTCACCGGGTGCGCTCCCCACTCTGAGGACCTCGCTCACCGGGCGCGCCTCCCGCTCTGAGGACCTCGCTCATCGGGTGCGCTCCCCGCTCTGCCCTCAGATCGAGCTGGAAATCCAGCTGTATGCGCAGCCGGTCGGGGACCTGCGCGGCCTGGCCGGCGACAGGATCGCAGACTTCTGCGGCGAGCTGGAGGCGTTCAAGCTGGTGCGACCCGAGCTGCCTGAAACGTCTGTCAGCAAGCGCCAGGTGTCTATCTCCTTCTTCACCTGCTGGCTCTTTTTCTTCTTCCCCTACTGCGTCACCATTACCGTCACAGTACCGACCAACACCAACCTTATCTTCATCCTGATCGGATGAGGCTCGAAACGGGCGCGGTCGCGCGCGCCACCTGGCGGTAGCAGCTGACGCCGGGCCGTCGCTGGAAGCGGCGGGAGGCCGCGGTGGGGCTCCTTCTCCCCCTCCTATCGGGCTGAGGGACATACGAGCTGGTGTAATGGGAAGAGTGTAGTTTATTGTCCGTCGTTGCGTCCTGGTAACAGCTCCATGGTTAGGCCGCGCTGGAGCCTGCTCTGCGTGTGTATGAGCGTCAACAGGCTGTGATATCTTCCCTGTTATACGATCGTAATAAATGCTATGCATGGAAACCTCTCAAACACTGTCCAGCAACAACTGATGGAGAGCAACGAAGAGATCTGCGACCCCAAACTACAACTCCTTAGCAAATTAACCTCAGAGGGCATGCCAAAACACCAGGTTCTCCGATCTTCAGCTTTATTCTGGTTATGCTAATTCCCGATGAAAATAGCAAGAACCCTCACCGAAAATGACGAACACCCAAATTATCGTGCGCTTATCAGTTCATCAAAGCGCAAACAGCAGCAGACCACCGCCGCCCGTACCGTATCATTGTCGTCGCATCCGATGTATCCACGCTTTCGTCGACTATCCCGGCGGACCTATTGCGACATGGCCCACGCACGGCACTGTACAAACTACAAGACCAGCAGTCTAACGATAAAATGTATTCACAGTTATTACATATTTTTACAAATACGGTGGACAATTCATTCAAAACATACGCGATGCTAAATCAAGCAGACGAATTCAAGGCGCACGATAAGTTAGAGCCGTGAAAAATCACAAAACAAAATGTGCAAGGTGATGTTTAAATAGGCGAAGTCACACCCGACACCACGTGCGGCGCGGGGGGAAGGCAATTTCAGGGGAGCAATATGGGACGGACCCAGCCAGAACACCGCCAGCAGAGAAGCGGTATGTCCAACCAGGCAAAAATGGACGCCCAGCCTGGGAAACAACATAAGACACTCCACCACGTACACCCGCACCGCCCCCAGACACCCACCTCCACGTGGAGGGCCGAGCGACACACACGAGGACGTCTTCCGTATTTACAGCGATGATCAACGCGGGGAGCCAGACAACGAGGAGCAACAAACGCAGCCGACTTCAGGACAGAGCACCTGCCACATACATACGGCACCACTGGCACTGGAGACGCACGGAGACAGAGGGACAGGCAGACAGAACACGGACAATCCGAGATCTCTGAACAAGGCGTCAAAAGATGCAACACATTTGGAGTCAGCAAATTTAGCGGCATCGCATTCAGCCTGAGGCTGACAAAACAAGGAACATATGCGTACAGAGCAACAAATTAAGCAAGGTGTTTGACACCGATGTCAGACACCAAATGCAACAGAAAACAGAGCAAGGCTTATTGGAGGGTAAAAATCGGCTGACCCTTGTCGAAGCGGAAGATGGCAAGGGCCACCGAAGCCCTTCTGGGGTCACGTTACTGTTCATCCCGTCTTGGCAATCCTACAATGACAATGAATACTAGCTATGTCGGGTCGACTAGCGGCAAATCGTTGCGCCTGTAAAACATTCCGGGCTTCATGTCCTCCCACACACGTTTGTAATCCCCATACAAAGTGGAGCGGGCGCTTTCCTGGCGTCACATAACGGCTTGTGCCGCGCTCACCGCTGCGAAACAACGACCGGTCGACAACGTTCAATTCATGATTACGGTTCAACAGTCAACGCTCCAGCCATGTCTACTCTTGAGCAGGCAAAACAGTTATCACAATGCTGGCCCACGCCAACAGGGCACTCTCCAGGCTATGCATCACATGGCAGTAGACGCACGGGCGCGGAGCCCTCTCTCTCAGACCCGTCGCCGTTGCGCCGGCTGCCTCACAACGCGCGGCGAACGGGCCCTCGGAGGCGCTCACGGGAGTTCGCGGACGTGGCGCCGCTGCCATCTAGCGTCGGCACCTCACACTATGATTTCGCGTATGACCCGCCGACTCCGCGTGTTGGGCGTGGAGTAGCCGCTCTCGAGCGATTCGTCAAATGAGATCTGCGGCTTGTTCTCAGGCTCCTGGTCAACGTATGGGTCCGGCATCCCCGACACGCCGACGTAGCCGCCCTCTGCCGGGACACGAGCCGCCGGTCAGTGAACACCAGACGCTTGTCAGTGGACATAAGCCGCCGGTCAGTGGCGGCGGCGCAGTTCATGGCACGGGTCTGGCAACACTTAACACTCCCAGTGCCCGTACACTACAAAGTGACCGCACTTCTGCTCCATCGCTCTATCCTGGCAGAGCCCAGACAGTTCCCATGAGCTGATAACAGTGGAACAAGACGGCAATTACTCAATGGCAGCAGCAAGCAATAAGCAATATTAAGGAGGCGAAAGACGTGTGAACTATGCAACAGTGGCGTTTTACTTTTCAATTACGACGAAATGAAAACAGAAACACAATTCCGTAAAACACTTGCATGATATACCTGCTAGTAATGCTTTTCACATGCCTCTCACAACAACCAACAACCATTCAGCTCGTCACCCAACCGTATCTACCTGCCCCTCACGTGCTTATGCGGTACATAAGCAGTTTGCCCACCCTCGGCGAGCAGCCACCCCTTCAGCGCGTCCTTACCTGCCAGCAGCGGTCGGCCGCGGGCCGCCAGCGCGCCGTACGGGTCCGCCTCGTACGGCCGGCCGTACTCGTCGTGATGCGGATACGGCGCCGGGTACGTCTCCTGCTGCGCCGGGTACTGGGCGTAGTCGCCGTAGCCGGCCACGTCGGGCAGGTAGTTGGCCTGGGCCGGGTCGTAGCCGACCAGCTCGTGCGGCGGGCCCGGACGGCCGTCTGCCTTCACCTGCCACAGCGAGTCCTGCGAGTTCACTGAGCCGCCCGTATTCGAGTTGGAGTAGCTCTGCTCCGTGTAAGCCGTGTTGACGGTGCCGGTGGCGGCGCGCGGCGGCGGCGTCGCGAACTGGCCGCCTGCCGCCGCCGCCTTGGCCGCGTCCACTGCCAGCTGCGAGAGGTCAGGTGCGTCCGACACCGACTTGTTCTGCAGGCCTGAGCCGGGTGGGTAGTAGGCCGGTAGCTTCTGGCGGCTGCTGCGGACGCAGAGGGCGGCGGTCAGCGGCAGCCGCGTGATCAGCCCGCAGCGTGGCACACGGACACGGACGTCACAAAAGCCACGGACGCCGACTGGCAGCGGCTCAGTGGCAGACAGAGTAGGATAAATGTAAACGATGACAAAACGTAAAGACAGTCGGTGAAGACAGTGGCATACAGGGAAAAACAAACAGAAGAACAGCCGTTTCCAAAGCAAACGGTGAAAGGCAGTGGTATAGATTTAATGAGAGCATGGAAGAATGACGAATAGCGCCAAACATGATAAGAACACAGCAATTGACAAGCCAGCTTCAGAGGGCGCTTAAGGCCACCTCGTTCCCTAAACACCCTTTGCACGACATCGCGGGCGTCACTCACTACGAGGCATCCGTGTAGCCATGCTTGGCCTTGGCGGTGGCTGTGCCGCGGCGGCAGCAGCAGATGAAGACCAACACGAGCAGCGCCACGGCCGCAATGGCGCCCACCGCGCTGACGATGATGGTGGTGAGCGGGGTGCCGCCGGCGGCCGCCACCGCCGCACCGGCTGACACTGCAACAGCGGCACGGCGCTGGTCAGAGGGGCGCGCCACAGACGGCGACGGCGGGCCGACAGACGGTGGGACGCGCGGGGCGACCTTTGGGGGCCTTGACTTCGCCGCTTCAATGGAGGCAGCTGGCATTCGTTGTTTTCGGTAAGCCTGCCACGTCCAACAGCGGTCGGTGTTCCCTAACCGTGCTCTGTCAGGACGGTCGGTTTTCTAGCAACCACCAACCGTGCTCGGCAAGGACGGACGGCTCTTTAGCGTCCACTAACCGTGCTCGGCCAGGGCGAGCGGCTCTTTAGCGTCCATCAACCGTGCTCGGCAAGGATGGGCGGCTCTTTAGCGTCCACTAACCGTGCTCGGCCAGGACGGGCGGCTCTTTAGCGTCCACCAACCGTGCTCGGCCAGGGCGAGCGGCTCTTTAGCATCCACCAACCGTGCTCGGCAAGGACGGGCGGCTCTTTAGCGTCCACTAACCGCGCTCGGCCAGGACGGGCGGCTCTTTAGCGTCCACTAACCGTGCTCGGCCAGGACGGGCGGGCCGCAGATGGCTGGGTCGTCGCGCAGACAGAGCCGCACGCGCACGTCGCTGACGTCTCCCAGGCCGGAGGTGAGCGATGCCAGGCCGCGGTTATTGGCCACGTCCACCTGTTGCTGCGAGCGGCGCCACTCGCCGTCACCAGACCTGCACGACACACAGACGGTCAGCACGGGTCAGAGGTCAGGCGCCGGCCGTCACCAGACCTGCACGACACACAGACGGTCAGCACAGGTCAGAGGTCAGGCGCCGGCCGTCACCAGACCTGCACGACACACAGACGGTCAGCACAGGCCAGGGGTCAGACGCCGGCCGTCACCAGACCTGCACGACACACAGACAGTCAGCACAGGTCAGAGGTCAGACGCCGGGTCCGGCTTAGTCACAGGTCACACAACGGGTCAGGCTCGGTCAGAGGTCACACTCCCGGCCAGTGTATGTTCGAGGCCAGCTTTGCACTCAGGAAGATTGATCGGAAGTCGCTTAATGGGTCAAGGTGGGTTACAGGCCAGCTACGACCAAGCGATGAAGCGAAACCAAAAGCCACCACCCACCCACCCACACCCACACCCAAACCCACACCCACACCCACACCCACACCCTCACCCACACACGCACGCACGCACGCACGCACGCACGCACGCACGCACGCACGCACGCATGCACGCACGCACGCGCGCGAAAACAGGGATTGATGCGTGAGCCCGCTGGCGACAGACGCGACGCACACCCACGTTGCAGAAAATGGCCGCACGCGCACTCTAGCGCGGCGTCCGAACAAGGCTGCCGGCCCAGACCCTGACCTGACGTCCAGCGTGCCGACCACGCCGATCGGCGAGCTGAGCACATGGAAGCTGAGCTGACGCGACTGACGCGAGAACTGGAGCCGCTGCGGCCGCGGCAGCCGAGCCACGTCCAGCGCCGTGGTGAGCTGCACCTGCTCCGACGCCTCCGAGTCGCCCTTCTCGTTGTTGGCGCGCACCTGCAGAGCGCGCACTCGCCGTGATATTGACCAATCAGTCGGCGGCGAATGGTATCAGTAACGTCACTGACGTCGTAGGCTGACAAATCCGCTGCCGAGTCAAGGTTGGGGTGAAATCAGCAACGTTCGCGGGAGTCAAATCCGCGTCCTTCGACGCCAGATCGATGCATAAGAGCCAGGTCACTCGCATCACAAGGCTGTGCACCTCGCGCATGCTCGTGGTATCACGCACAAGCTGGTGACCGAACGAGTGATACCTCGCGAACGCACGTTCCTGCGTGCCAACAGCAATCCCGTCAGGTGACACCAAAGGGCGCCCTTCGATGATCGGGAGGTATCAGCTTTTCTACGAGTGTCTGTGGTTGCACTGGTGGGCGCGCACAACAGCTGACAAACCGAATGAAGCGAGTGTGTGTGTGTGTTAAATGGATTCATTCTGGCATGGCTAACGCTAAACTGCGTCATAAACCCGAAATCTGCAGCCTGCCGAGCCGTTTTAACGCGTCAAAGAAGTCCCATCCCAACTGCGCTACGCACAGCAGCAGCTGTTCATTGAACTGTGCAATATAGGGGGACAATGGCAACACTTAAGAGCCGTGGGCGGCTAATCGACATGGTTCAATTATTCAAACCTACATCATCGTCGTATCACCTTCAACAGTCAAGTTCATCACGCTCATCCTGATGTTAGACCTAGCGACCCGTGTGCCGGCCCGGGGCCCGGACGCAGTGGTCCGGCACTGGTGTGCATAGCCTGCGTCTGTTGTACAGTTTGTCCGGTGGTACTATGCACATCGTCAAGCCGTCACGCTCCAGCTTTCAAAGTCGTGTGCCCACCGTCAGCGACGCGACGGCGACATTAGAGAGCCGGCGCTGGTGTTAAGCGAGCCCGCCGCCAGTGCCGGCCGGCGCCTGCGGCCGCATATTTGCATACCCCGAAATGATCATGCGTTATGGGCACGTCGGTCGGTCGATTAAAAACGCATCAGGGCGCGCCGGCGGCGCAGATTTCACGGCCCGTTCGGTCCGGGCGGGGAGAGAGCCTGACAGACACCGTTACAGCGCCGACACAACCCCGGCACTGGCTGAGGCGTTTGACGCGAGCGGCGGCGGCACGGGCCGATCGCGGCCGTCGCGATGCTGCACGTGGCGTCTGAGTGGTTCAGTGGTGTCCGAAGAACCGACCTCACTAATACACTCGACTTTTTCCCGCGACGCAATAAAAAGGCGACCAGAAATGCCTTACTGAAGCTTAACAGTTTTCAACTTGCTCGTTGCCGTCAATTTTGAGTGGCTAGGTGCCCCGGCACGAGCCAGCCGTGGCGCCCACTCACCCAGAGCCGGTAGGTGGTGCGGTGCTGGAGCGAGGTGACGTTGCAGGGCCGGCGCGTCTGGCAGTCGAAGGCGCGCTCCCTGCCGCGCTCGTCCGCCAGCGTCACGTGGTGGATGGTGCCGCGGTAGCCGCCATCGAAGCCGGGGCGCCAGTCGAGCAGCGCCCAGCTGGTGCCGAGCTCCGCCGCGCGCAGCTCGGTCGGCGGCTCCGGCCGGCTCTTGGCCTGCAGCCGCAGCGAGGTGCTGCGCTCGCCCTCGGCGTTCTGCGCCTGGCAGACGTACTCGCCGTAGTCGGCGGCGCGCACGCGCGCCAGCCGCAGCACCGACTGGTGCACGTCGTTGCCGAGCCGGCTGGTGTTGGTGGCGAACAACGCGTCGTCGTCGGCGGGCAGCGCGGCGTCGCGCCGGGACCAGCGGAACACGGGCGCCGGGTACGCCTGCATCTGGCAGGCGATCGTCGCCTCTTCGCCCACGTCGAATGCCACCTTGTTGTACTGGTGGTACACGATCGGCGCGTCTGCAGCGGCAGGCGAGCACGTCAACGGCGCCGGCAGACACGACCACCTGCGTCGCCGCAAAACGGAGCAACACCGCACGGTGAACCCTCGAAAAATGACTGCCAGCTGCGCCGACCTGGTGGTCGACGTTGTCGCAAAGCCAAGTACAGATACTCAGACATGCCGGGACTACGGTCCGTTAAAAGTACACGCCTTTACGTCACATCTAAAATGCGTGCTAGGTTTAGCCAAAAGACCCATAAAATTGCATCGCCTTTGGCGACACCCGAAACAACAACAAAAAATGAAACGCAGGGAGCCAACCCAGACGGAGCACGTCCTGGCCTCACAGCCAGGGTACAGCTGCAAGATCCCTCACCACCGGCCGGCGGGAGGGCCACTCACGTCTGATGCGCAACAGCATGGTGGTGTCGGCGACGCCGGCCGCGTTCTCGAAGCGGCAGCTGTAGTTGCCGCGGTCGGCCGGCTCCAGGCGATCGTCGCGGCGCGCCCAGCCGCGGAAGTTCAGCGTGCTGCTGACCGTGAACGCGCCGTCCGGCCGCTCCGTCTCGTCGATAGCCACGTCGTAGCGCCCGTCGGCCGTCTGCACTTCCTCGCCGTCCTTGAGCCAGGCGACGGCCGGCCGCGGCCGCGCCTGCGCGCTGCAGCGGACTGCAAATTGCGCCGCCGTCACCGGCCGCTTCACCTCCGGCTGCAGGCGCGTCACCAGCTGCGGCGCGCGCAGCACACGCACCTCGACCCCAGCGGCGGCGCCCCGGCCCAGCTCGTTCTCGGCCTCGCAGCGGTAGTGGCCGGCGTGGCGCGGCTGCACGTTGCCGACGGTGAAGTTGGCGCCGACGCCGAGCGGTGCGTCCGACTGGTCGTCGCGCCACCAGCGGAAGCGCGGCGCCGGGTGGCCGGGTGGCTGGGCGGCGCAGCGCAGCGTCATCGGGCGGCCCTCGACGCCCACCGGCGCCGCCGGCCGGATCGCCGCCGGCCCGGGCGCGTGGCGCACCAGCACGCGCGTGCTGGCGTTGCCGACGCGCTCCTCGGGCTGCGCCATGCCCTGGCTCTGCAGCCGGCTGACAGCGACGCAGACGTACTCGCCTCCGTCGGCGGCGGTGACGCGGCTCAGCCGCAGCGTCGCGCCCTCCTGCCGGAACTGGGCGTCGCCACGCCGCTGCCAGTACACGCGCTCGGCCGACGGGTTGGCGTCCACCTCGCAGTCGACCTGCACGCTGCCGCCGGCGGCCAGCTCGCGCTCGGGCGCGGCGCTGACACGCGGCCCGTACAGCACGTCCAGCCGCAGCTCGGCGGAGCGCTCGCCCACCGCGTTCTCGGCGCTGCACGTGTAGACGCCGGCGTCCGAGCGCCGCACGGCGTCCACTCGGTGCACGAAGTTGGTGTTGATGAAGGCGTTGTTGCGCACCCAGCGCACGTTGGCCACGGCCGGCTTGGCGTCGACATCGCACCGCAGCCGGACGGCGCGGCCCGCCTCCACACGCAGCGGGTTGGCCGGGCCGACGGTGAGCCGCGGGAAGTCTGCGGTGGTCAGACCACCCCGTCAGCGAGAGCGGCGCCGACGACGACGTCGCGAGTCAGACGACATCGGAGGGGGTGTCAGGTAACGGTGTCGGTGAGCACGGGGATCATAATGTGCCAGATCACCATGAAGGCACGTCTGTTGCCAATTTCAGGTGTGTCAGGCGAAAACGTGAGTTATCACGGTGATCATAATGTGTCATATAACTGGGAAGGCACGTCTGTTGTCAACTCCAGGTGTGTCAAGTGATGGTGTCAGTTATCATGGTGATCATAGCATGTCAAATGGAAAGACACATACGTGTCGGAGGGTGTCAGACAACATAGTTTGGTGTGTCAGATGAGTAACGAATGTGCCGGAAAAATGTGGCAATTGTGCCAGACAGCCCTTACAGCGTATCCAGCGATATTCCAGATGCCGTTGGATACACCACGCGCGGCGTGCACGTGTGCGAGACCACTCACGAAGACACCACGCGCTGATCACAACGGTGCTAGCAAGCCACACGCCACATGCTTCTTGTGGTTAATGTTAGTCCAGGACCACATTCAGAACTTCCTAAATGAATGGGCGAATTACTAATGCCATTGGCTACCACTCGGTTCGAAAACAAAATATTGTCCGAGCTAAAGATTCCACAGGCAACATTCGCCCCGTCGCGCAGTTCAGAGGTCAGAGACCTCGCCGCGTACCAGCGGAAAAGCAACGCTGTGGTCGGTCGCGTTCGTCGTTCGGTTTCGTGGTCAGCCGAATACCGTAAACTCATCGCCGTTAATTTGCGCCAGGTGGAGCGCCAGTCACCGCCGTCCGCAGGCCATCCATACATGACACACAATAGCTTCAGCCCGGCGCATTTTCACGGTCCAAATCCCAGACGCTCTCGTGTGGACTCGGCCTTATCAGCCGCAGCATCATCTTCCCACACGCAGCCACGCAATGGCCTTTCTCCGGCGCGTCCTGAGGTATCGAATGTCGCTCTCCCTGGCGTGGTCGCGTGTGGCCCGGCCCCGTCCCAACCGATCGATCGCGTGCCTCCCTCCCCTGGTCCCGAAGATATCACATTCCTGCCCACCATCTCAGGCATCGCGTGCCTCCCCTCTGCCCAGAAAATGTATCAAGTGTCCTTTGAATCATTCCGGATCGGTAGGCCCTTCTAAATAGAGTGCATACGGTTCGTCTCAAAGGGGCGGGGCGGATCCCTCGGCGGGGATCTGTTCTGTCACAATGATAAAACCCTCTCGGTCGGGAAGGGATGGGCCGTAGACGTTCCCCGTCCTGGCTGTTAAATTGAGAACAAGGCGGGATGGGCTACGGGACACCGAACAAAGGGGCTGCGAGTACAGCGAAGATAGAGAGACAGATGCGCTGAAGTCTCCTAGCGTGGTCCTTCAGGCAGCAGAGTGTGGGCAGATCAAAGAACGTCACAACCACCAGGAAAACGTGCAGTTTAGTGACTATCTCGTGCCGAGGAACGCTTGGACGCAGGACGCTAACGTCGACACTTTGAATATTGCAGAACGTGACTTGGATGGAAAGAGTATTGAGCTAATCGGGTGGAAATACTGCGGACAGCATCTGCAAGTTGGTGGTTAGCGTAAAGGGTTCGGTGCCGTATATAGACAGAGTGTAGTGTTGTCAACCCGGCGCGTTGTCAGTCGACACTGAGTTACGACACTCCCAGCGACGACACTGACAGCACGGCGCACCATACATTGTGCTCAGTCGCCTAATCGGCCCATAGACTACCCGCCTGCTGACCGTGACGTGCGTGCAGACCAGCGCGGCGGCCGGCGTGGCGCCCGCTCCCCCGCCTACTCACAGTCGACGCTGAGCGCCAGCGTGTCCGAGAGCCGCTCGCCGGCGGCCATGGCGCGGTTCCAGACGACGCACTCGAGCTCGGCGCCGTCATCGTCGCGGGTCGGCTGCAGTGTCAGCCGCGACACGGTCGGCTGCGAGCGCTCTTCGGCCAGCGTCAGCTCGGCCGGCAGCGGCGCGCTCGAGCCGCGCCGGTACCAGCGCAGCTCGGGCGGCGGGCTACCGCCACGCGAGCTGCAGCTGAGCTGGGCCGGCCGGCCCTCCTGCAGCGTCGCCGGCAGCGGCTCCAGCTGCGGCGGCCCCGGCGCCAGCAGCACAGTCAGCTGCACCGTCTCGGCATGCAGGTCGCCGCCGCTGCCGACGCGGCGCGCCTTACACGCGAACTGGCCGTTGTCGCGCTCGTACGTGGCGCCGGTGATGTGCAGGTCGTAGCGGCCCTCCGCCGGCTGGAAGTCGACTCTGCCGGGGGGAGGGTGAGAACGTCACAGTCGGTCGCGCGTCGCCAGGCCGCACGCCAAACAGGGCATCTCTGCCGGGGGGAGCGTGAGAACGTCACAGTCGGTCGCGCGTGGCCAGGCCGCGCGCCAAACAGAGCACCGCAACGCGCCGAGCCATCCACAAGCCATCCATCGCCAGCATGCGAAATTGGGAGCGGACGAGCGTGCGTGTCACGTGTTCCCAAGTGTCGCCCGTGCAGTGCGGCGGATAGCATCGCATGACGGCTCTATGTTACGGTGAGTGCCAGACGCAGGAGATTGTGAGTGTATCACCACGTAAGTTCGATCACCACCCACGATGAAATATTTACCTCACAAACTTCGCAGAATCTCACATCTCACAAAATACCAGCAAAACACAAACCCGGACAGGACTGGCCGCGCTTATATCGCTGCATAACACAAACCCTTGATATCACTGGGATAACAGCACAAGAATGTACCCACAGTTTGGATACCACGGGTAAATTGACTATCGTCCATACAGTAAGTTACTCATGGCATGGATTCTAACTCACACGCCATTCGAACAAAAAAATAAGCTCGACTGAAAGGATGAAATGAATTGCTCATTGTGGCTGCCAGAAAGACGCATGCAATAGAAGGCACTGGCATGACTCGTTATTGATACATACAATCCTTGGCATAGAAAGTATTATCAGGGGGGTAAATAAGAATGTCATTGAAACAACAAAGACCAATACCGTGCTAGCATAGCGTAAGCCCTCCCCTCCGTAGCTACCAGAAATCAGCCCATAGGCCCATGAAATATCACGCAAAAGGAACGTACTTCTATCGCACAAAGTGGTACCAACCAAGACATGGGAATATCGCAGTTGGAGGTCTTGCTAAATCTGGATTTCGATGGTCGAGCTTGCAAAGAGAAGGGCACGCGGTGCAATGTATAGCGAAGTGATGCAACGGGCGTGTGTCCCGTTCGTGACCGAGAGGTTCCCACCACATGCACGGAGCACCTACTGTTTCCCTCGTCCCATCGCAACAGACATTGCAAGACGTTGCGCACCGTCGGCACTACCGACAGCGCCAGCATGCGTGTCTCCAATAAATTAAGACCCGTGCCTTCAAAACGAGGCACTCCAATGCCTCGAACTCACATGTTCGACCCGTCAACAGCTGAACAAAAAGTGGAGCACACTCAGGAAGGAGGGGTGACGACAGACACACGGGCGGCGCCGCTACCCGATCCCCTACCCAGGCAGTTCGATCACTGCACCACACCCCGCCCTGACCGGGCGGCGCCAGTCCGCGTCCTGGCTGCCAGCCTGGGCACGTCCCGCCCTCACGGCCACCGCCACCACCGGGGCCCGCAAAAACAGGGGCCCGGCTCGGCACGGCCGGCGCCGGCGTCGTGTCCCGCGACGGAGCTGCGGTTTTGGGCTGGCCCGTCCACCCGGCACGCCGTGTCTGTCCTCGGACGGCGGGCGAACGTCACGCAGATTCGCACCGGAGCACGAGTCCGTCCCTAACTTCAACCCGAGTCCGTCCCTAGCTTCAACCCGAGTCCGTCCCTAGCTTCAACCCATGATTCTGAGTCCGATTTATTTTAGGGACTATTCAAATCACTTCAGGCCGCTCACACAAAGTTCTGGGCGGGAAATCGATCCCACGCCGCGCCGGACTCGGTAACAAGCCTGCTTTGGCCGACAAACACCGCGCCCCGAGACATTTATGAGCGCCGGTCCAGTCCCATACACATTCCGCATTGCCAGGATATGCACCCGCGGAGTGGCTCGGTACGAGTCGTTCTGGCTAGATTCACGTGAGGGAGAACACGTTTTGTTGCATGCACTGTTGCGCTGGGTTACTACGGGACACAAACAAATAATGCAATCGACGCGCACACCTAACCGAACCCAAAACTAACTAATGAACTGAGTTACTACGGAAACGCCGTGAAAAAATCCTTACGCATCTCGCCTGCTCAGAGAGGCTCAATACTTCTAAGCAGCCCCATGTGGCAACATGCGGTCCAGCTGCCGGCCCCCGTGGCAGGTCGCGAGGCGCCCTCGGCACCAGCGCTTCTCCGCAGGACGGCGCCGGTCCGGCCGGCGGCGGCGCCCACACCGCGATCGGGCGCCGTTAGCGCGCGGATGAGGGAGGGAGGGAGGCCGCCGCCGCCGCCGGGGACGCCGTTAGCGCGCGGACGAGGGATGGAGCGAGGCCGCCGCCGCCGCCGCCGGCCGCTCGCTGCACGGCAAGGCGCCGAGCTCCGATGTCGGATCAGCCTGCACCCACGGACAGAGGGCGGCCGCGGCCCGCCAGATGGCCGGCCGTAACTCAACAGCGGGCGGGGGAAGGACCGGACTGGGGCAGCTCTGCACCGGCTCCCCTCATGCTTGCGAGCAATCGTTTAATAGACCAGCGCCCAGGGCGTGTCTGGCAGGCCGCGCATACGATGCAAGATATGGAGAAACCTGCTGGCTATCAGACAACCGCGAACCCCACGGCTACTACGCGGCAGTGCTGGAACCAAGCCGGGGGCTTGTTCCCCGGAGCGCTCCTAGATGGCGCGTCGGAGGATCGGTACGAGGGGAGGCGCCGAGGTGTAAAATGTTGGTCACATGAATATGGAGAGCGGGGATGATTAAACCGAACCGAACATTGCCTCCGTAATGGTGTCACTAGCGGGTGATTTGTGAACGGCTCCGAACCCCTTGCGAGGAGGTTCGATTTGGAACACAAAGGCGGTCATTAGAATTCATTGTTTTCCCGCTTAATCACACTTCGAAATAACCCGTGGCGAATTCCACGAGCCCCAAGCCGAACGGGGTCGGGGCGGCGGTGAACGGCGCCGCTCAGAGGGGTACGTCGGCGCCTGTTTTTTTGCCGCGTCGCCCGGTCAGCCCGACCAGGGGTGTGATCAGATCCGGACCGCTGCGGGGAGACGCGGGGTCGGCTGTGTAATTTATGCGGTGGGGAGACGGAGCCGGGGAGCGGAGCGGTCGGCCGGGCCGTTCGCTTGTTTGTCAGCGGGGGGTGGCGCGAGACACGGCGCGGGCGCGAGCCCTCCTGTCCGATCACACTCGAGGGCGGAGCCGGCGATCACTGCCGTCACACCTCCTGCCTTATCAGGAGTACAAATACGGGCTCGACACACGCACCCGCTCCGCCGACACCGGACACCGGAGACGTGCCTTCACCCGCGCTGCCCGAAAACACCCACCCTCCCGCAGCTAGCCCCCTATAAACACGCACCAAGCGAACTAGGTCGCTGCGAAACACGTCAGCGAAGGGAGTAGCAGATCCCTCCCACGCGTGGTGAGCTGCCTGTCGCACGCCAGCCACCGCTGGGCCGACATCATCCTGGACCGTGGCAATACCGGAAACCGGCCGGCAGCAGGCCGCTGCATTCCACGAGGCCACCGAGGCGCCCCAGGCTGGGCCTCCAGCTCCCCGTCCGCGGACCCGCGCACCGGACCGGACCGGACCGGACCGGGCTGTGGATTGAGTCCACGGCACCGCCGCCCGCCGGCCGCACCGGTCAGCGCAGGGCCTCCGAGCGTCGCCGTTTTTCGGCCGGGTCATCGCACCGGCTATCAGGGCTCGATATCGCGGAGAGTGTCCCCGTAAAAACCCGATCTGGAGCTCCAGCAGCGGGCGGCGGGCGGCGGGCGGCGGGCGGCCGGCGGTTCGACACGACCACGGCGTCCCGACTCAGGCATGAAAAAGCCCCCGACGTGACCGACCAGTTGCACGACAGCGTTATGTATGATAACAAAGTCACACCGCGTAATCCGTCGGCACGTAGTTGCGCGGCCGCTGCGCACATAACCACGCAGGCCGTGTGCAGGGATAAAAACGCCCCGATGCGGCAGGGCAACTCGACCAAGAGCGCCGTGCGCGTGAACAACATCCGATGCTACGTGTTTGGCACATATTTCGATGCCCACACGCATGCAAAATCGTAAATCCATGCGTGCACCGATAATATATATATATATATATATATATATATATATATATATATATATATATATATATATATATATGGATTTATATAATCAATGGATCGTGATGCAGTTCAATGCAATTTGCGTCTGGGCTGGTTACTCAACTAGCCCCGAGCACACGAATGAACAGATGAAGCAGCCCTGTGACAAGAACCAGAGGACCGCGTTTCTGCATCTCCCGATCAGCTGAACCTGAAAGTCAGACCAAACCCGACACTGCCTCCACCTACCGGAGAGATGAGGTCAGCCGACCCGTCGCCCGCGGCCCCCGCCCCGGCGCGGGGCAGCGGGGCCGGGGGGCGCACGGACCCGACCCGGGCCCATACCCGCACCCGTGCCCGTGCCCATACCCGTGCCCGTGTCCGTGCCCATACCCGTGCCCGTGTCCGTGCCCGTGTCCGTGCCCGTGCCCGTACCCGTGCCCGGCCGGCGGCGGCGGGCCCAGCCAGACCTCCGCCGCCGCCGCCGCGCGCTCCGAGCGGGCCGGCACCGGCCGACGATCGGCTAATGGGCCTGAGCAGGACTGGAGCGGCGGCCGAGCGGCCAGCCCAGCCAGCTTCAAAAGGGCCGCCCGGTACCCGACACACCGTCTCCAGACAACCCACAGCAGATGGGCGCCGGGGACGACCCCGACACCAATCAATTGTCAAGCATTGGGCTTCCTACGGCGGCTACACAGGTAAAAAATTAGAGCATTCCGCTGAAATATCCATGAAATGCCTTAATGGCGCCCGCTTCATCTTGCCTGCCATCGCTGGTTCAGAATAAAGCAATCAAGCACTTTTTAGTGTTTCGAGAGGCGGCCCGAATGATGTTTTAAATGTTGTTAACATGGCCCAAACGCAACGCACTCAGTCACGTCCTTGATAAGAAAGAGACAAAAAACCCCTTATCTGGCTAACCGTAACCAAAATCCCATCCAGACGTAAATCACTCCCATTCGGAGCCTTCCTGAATCTCACGACCAATTTTGGACCTCCGCAACACTTTAAGAGTTGACCCTTGTCGTCCTGCCCTACGTAAACACTAGCAGCCACAAAGGATATAAAATGCCGTTCACACATTACACAATACACCTTGACACACTGACAACGTACGCTCTATTGTTTTAATTTGAGTAGGACAGCTTGCCCGACAGTTTGCTACCTGACCCAAACAATCCACAAGACTTTCTCTCGCGCAACCGATAATCTAAACAGTCAACCTGAACCAAACAATCCATACGAGTTTCTCTCGCGCGACCGATAATCTAACCAGTCATCTATTAATCACCAGATAGGATCGGAAAAACCTTTCTGATGGCATCGACTGCTACGACTCCATCACCATTTTGCCCGTCACCCCCACCAGTTAGTGGACAGCAGACTGATCTGAAGACAACGCGCCAGTCAGTGGACAGCAGAATGATCTGAAGACTACGCACCAGACAGTGGACAGCAGACTGATCTGTAGACTACTGGTGATGAACCCAACACACTTGTCGGGCCAGCCCCACTGTATTAACACGTCCGGGATTAAGCCCTCCACCACACCTGCCACCGCAGCTCTGTTTTCAAACCAGGCGTGTCACTGCTCGCGCCTCACACATACCGGTAGCGCTTCCTGAAGGCGTTCTCCTGGATGGCGACGTTGTCCCACTCGCGGCTGTTGCGGTGACTCCAGTAGAAGGAGGCGTCGGCCGGCTCCACCTGGGTCGGGTCGAAACGGCAGCGGAGCACGGCATCGGCTCCCTCCAGCACGTCCACCGAGCCGCGCACCTCCTGCGCGCGCCCAGCGGCGGCCAGCAGCAACGCTGCCGACGGGAAGGCCGCAGGTCAGCCACGCGGGGACGGGAAAGGTCAGGCACCGCGGCACGGGCAGATCTAGACACGCTGGTACAGAGGTCAGACGCTCCTGATCGAGGGGTTTTGGACACGCTGGTACAGAGGTCAACGCTCCTGATCGGGGGGTTTTGGACACGCTGGTACAAAAGTCAGACGCTCCTGCATGGGGAGCGGACAGGCACGCTGGTACGTTCAGAGATCACCACACTGGTATGCGTTGAGATCAGACACACACCGGTAGAGACAATACAAAATGTAGTTGCGAAACGTGACGCATCAAATTATGTTTCAAGCTTTCAAATCTTGCCTTTCCGCCGACTGCGGGAGTTGCGGATCTGGCAGCACGGACAGTGGCATACCACAGCACAATAATGTCATGCACGTGCAGTAAGCGGAACCAAAATCGAAAAATGCACGGAACCCAGCTGAATTCAACCGTCACGTCCGCACACGTAATGACAGGCAACCAGCGCCGGCCCTGAGCCACGTGTGGGGCTCACGGCCGCACATCGCTGACGGGCACGTGCCGTCCACGTCCGTCCGGACGTCCGGCATGGCATGGGGCGAGGGGCCGGCCGCCAGACTCCCGCGGCCGCCCCCACGCCGGGAGCGCGCGCAACACCAAACCATCCACCTTCAGGGGCGGTGCGGCGTTTAAAAAGACGCATGGTGAACCAGGAACAGGCACAACTTAGGATGTTTTACTTGCCTCGCACAACCACTGTGTACGGATGGCTCTACGTTCTTGCCAATTGCCCATGGATAATAATCATTTCAAACGAGCGCAGGCCAGCACCACGGCTGTTTGTGCACCGTATACTGTATAGCAATGATCAAAGCAGCTTATGTTTTCCTGTGGACACAAGTTTATCTCAAAACATCACACATCACGATGAGCTGAAGATGTAAATGCTATTTTTGATGACGAATGGGGGACATTCCCACGGACTGACGTTAAGGACACCATTAATCAGTGGTGTCCATAAGAGCGTGGCACAAGCGGCACGTGGTGCACCTGCGACCAAAGTGCATTCAAATGCAAAATGCAAAAGGCATTACGCATTTACTGCAGGACACAGCAGAACAACCAAGCCTCGGCCTGGCTGCTTCCCACGCAGTGAGCCTAGTGCATGCCTCTGTCAGTTCGAACCAGTGAATCCGCCGAAGACCGGAACTGCTTCACAGCACGATAGCAACACAGTCAAAACAGGCGGCAGCAACGCCGATACAGGGTAGACCCGTACAGCAACAGCGGCGGCGGCGGCGGCGGCGAAACTCGGTCAGCGCCGCCGGCCGCTCGCCGGCTCGGGCTGGGTTAGCCGCGCGGGGCAGGGCGGCCGCATTCCCGCCGCCGCGTCAGCCACGTCCACGCCACCATCGCCGCCGGCTGCCGGCAGTGCCAAGTGGGCGACTCGGCCCTGGGAACGGCGCGCGCGCCGAGCGTGACGAGCGCCACTTGCCGCCCGCCCGCCGGCCGGTCCCAGCCAGTGTCGCCGCCCGATAGTGGCGTCGCCTGCCCTGTCGAGCGGCCACACCCTCGCTGCGAGGACACCGTCGGCCCCCGGCCCCCGGCAGGGCAGCCCTGAGCGCTGGCCGCGGCCGGACTGGCAGTCCCGTACCTCGGTGGGCCGGACCAGGAGCTCCGCGTGACAGCGCCGCCGCCCAGGCCGGCGCCGCGCCCTGCCGCTCGCAGATGGAAGGCGGCCGACCGGGCGACGGCGGGCGCGCCCGCGGCGCCGCCGCCGCTCCGGTTTGATTGTTTCCCGGCACGTCAGCCGGCCTGCAGCGCATCGCTTCGTTCCAGCGCGCGTCGCGAATCGCGCGGCCCGTGCGCCGCCGTCCGTGCGCCCCGCGGCGTCGGCGCGTGACATCAAATTAATGAACCGGCCAGCCCGCGCCCGCGATCACCGGGAAATTGTTATTCCCGCAGAATGAGAAATGGCACGCGAGTCACTGGCTGGCGGTGCGCGGCCGCCGGCGGACTCGCCGTCGGACTCGGCCGGCCTTGACTGGACGCGACCCCGGGCGCGGCGATTTGTCTCCCCCGATCCGCTCACGCAGGCTCTCGGTCGCGTCGGCAAGGACAACCTTTGTCGTCGCTGAAAACGAGCCCGATTCCGCCCAACAAATTGCCGATCCACGGCGCTGCCGCTCACGGCCGGCTGCCACCCGGCTCCGCGGCATTATCCGCCGCCACCGTCAGCCGCGCCCGGAACAGCCAAAACGCCTGCCCGAACGCTCCCAGATCCGGACAGATAGCGCCAGACAAAGAACGATTCGCATCCACCGGCGGCGGGACCGACAGCTCGGCCGGCGACAGCGGCACGCTTGTCCAACGGATCAATGCGTCTCGGGCAGTAAAAATACAAATCCGGCAGGGCGGAGCCTGCGTTCAGCCTGGCCTTGCCTGGAGCACGACCACGCTGGTGGTGGTCGCGGCCCGTCGTCCCCGAAGGCAAACATAACGCATGTCGTGCGGAAACTAAGGCCCATGTCTAACGCGGCGGCGAGGCCGACGCAGCGGGCGAGCGGGAAAACAGCCGCAGCCTGATGGAGCGGAGACGAGCCCGGCCCACCCCCGGACCGGCGGCGAGCAGAGCGTGGGGCTGACATACCCGGGTATGAGAGGCGGCCGTGCGCGCCTCGGCCCGAGGCTGAGGTGACCGGGAGGCGGACACACCCCACGTGGCCGGCCTCAAGTTGAGCGCAATAACGGCGTCTCAGCAGACTGAGGCAGGGTGGGAGAGCACAGCCAGCGGCGCCTCAGCGCTGACGCAGCCCCGCGCCACCTCTCCGGACGGTAGTGGGGCACGTATAGTGTGGCTAGCGATGCCTGACCGTTGACACACCGCCGCGGCGAGCTCGCGGCCGGCGGCGGCACCAGAAGACGACGCATCGTCACGGCTGGCTGCCGGCAAAACGACCGGCAGATAATGAGCGAGCCATTAAGCTCCGACTCACTCGGCCGCGACCGGGCCGCCGTCACCTGACCATCTCCGCCGGGACGGTCGAGCTGCTCGGCCTGCCCGGTCCGACAGCGCCGGCCGGTCCGCTTACTCCGAGTGAGCCGTCGCCAGACCGCCTCCGCCGGCACCGGTGGTGGTGCCCTGCCCGGTCCGACAGCGCCGGCCGGTCCGCTTACTCCGAGTGAGCCGTCGCCAGACCGCCTCCGCCGGCACCGGTGGTGGTGCCCTGCCCGGTCCGACAGCGCCGGCTGGTCCGCTTACTCCGAGTGAGCCGTCGCCAGACCGCTTCCGCCGGCACCGGTGGTGGTGCCTTGCCTGTCCGGCACGTCATCAGACCACCTCCCGTCAGGCGTCAGTCGGCTCGCCACAGTCGATCGATCGCGTCAGTCGGCTCGCCACATCAGTCGATCGATCGCTGTCAGTCGGCTCGCCACATCAGTCGATTCCAACGAAACGGGTGCAGACAACGCCGTGTGGTCATAACGCGTGTGAAGTATGACACCAAACATAATCGCTTTTTGCTCCCATTTCAATAGTTGGTCATAATGGCCATCACTTCCACAGCATTCTACTATGATGGTGACGTATCGCTCTACCTATCTGAGCAGACACAATGAATACTGCGGTGGAAACATAATAACGGCTCAGCTTTCACCACCTAATGAACTTTTAACCCGCCTGATTTTGTCAGAGGCTCCGGTGTCACCTATCCACCCGTCAACCCGCCTGAGTTGAAACTCTGCGACAACAGCGGACTAGGCGGAGCCGCACATCAACGTCAGACTTATCAGCTCACCAGCTGTCCCGAGGCAGCGTCAGAACATGCATAACAGACAGCAGAGGCGCTAACACCTGTCAAGTAGACACAACGCAACGGATGGGCCGGTCCGGCGGACACCTGAGACCGCTTTAGGATATCAACATCGGCTCGAGTGCAAACGCTTGCCCTCACCGCCCTGCAAAGCAATGAAGTGCCTCGTTGAAATTCTTCCCGTGACCTCGATCATCGCATCCCTCGAGTTTGATGCGAATACTTTGGATTCCAGGGACATTTGAACTAGATTGAATGTGTCCGTGAAACAGACGTGTGGTATGCTGACAACACGATTGTTCTTGGGGTGTTTTAATATGTCTCCTACGTACCTGAAAGCAATTTCTTCGCGCTATTGTCCCGTCAGACGTTTCGCTTTCTTAGCGCGCCTGATGGTGGCCAAACCCGGGCAGTGCCGACGCAGCCGTCGCTACCAGAGTGTCGTCTGTTCGACTCGATGCAGTAGCGCTCAGGTTTTCTTTCACCCGATTTCGCCCAGCCCGCCTGAAGACGAACAGCCCTGGGCGACCGACGCAAAACGCGCCGCCGGGGGAAGCGTCGGGTTGCGCACGCTGTCGGACCACCACTCAATCCTTCAACGGACCCGATCTATGCTCCAGTCGGCGATCGTGACGACCCCGACAGTTCAAGGGGCGAGGCAGGCAGACGGCGGGTCGGCAGCAACCGGCGTGCGAGGGATCGTGAAGGCTCGAGGACTGCGCTGAAGCCACACAAGGCCTCCGCCACCAGGCCACCATATCCGCCGCGGGTCACCGGCTTCACGAGACCCTCGGCACGTGCTTCAGACCTCAACAGAGCCGACTCTTAAGGCAGGTCAGCCGGCGCGCCATGAACTGGCGGCGGCCTCCGCTGGAGTGGTCGGCATTCCTCCACTTCGGCGCATTCCCGCCAGATGAGGGAGCCGGCCGCCGCGTCCGCGCGCGCAAATGAGGTCCAATTGGAGAGCAACTGGCGGAGGGCGGCCGCAGCGCCGGCGGTGCCTCTACTCACTCCGTAACCGTCGAGAGCGGCGCATTGTCCGCGTGCCACGGCCCGCGCGGATTGCGCGGATCAGCGGCGGCTGCGCGCCGGCTTGTTTTCGCCGCCCTTACTCAGCCAGAGTGCGAACAGAGCAGCCGGCTCGGACGCGGGCGACAATCGGCCGGGCCGGCGCGCTCGCTCGGGGATTTGT